CTGTCCATACCACACTGCCTCAGAACACCCTCTTTTATTTAAGCCACTTATTACAAATTATCACACTTCCATCCAATTTCTACATTCTCACATATCAACTCTCAAAACTTCATGTATATACCTTTCAGCTGCTTTCATTAGCATTCAATGAGCTTCATCTGTCCTTTGCTTATATGTTTCCTCATGAAGTCAAACACTGTACAGTACACTATGGTATATTGATAAGTGTATAGTCTGCCTTACAGCTGCTCGGTATAGTCAAGTTTTACAGGTTTAAATGAGGCTCCATAACCCGTAAAATCCCACAACTGTTCCTAGTGGATGTGTAAAAAATGATGGTACTGTACATACAACCATTATGATCTTGAAACAATACCCTACCATTCATAATTTCCAGGTATTTTACTGCACCAAAATGAAGGATTGAAGAAACAAATCCCACTTTATGGTAGAGGGCATGAGATCAGTGGCCTAACAGATTCTACCACATTAAGCATCCCTGGTACAGCCTACCACATACAGGAGGCTAAGTCTTGAATAGCAGCGAGTTACACTACCGGTATCCTTATGAATCATTGTAAATAACTACTGTAGAGCCGCTCTTCACCAAGCTCAAATCAATATTTCAAACTTTTAGCCCGGTGGTTCCCTCAAAAGACAGTGAGGCACTTATTAATAAAGGTATAGCTTTACAGGAACTATAAAAAATTAATAAGTTCACATTAAAGTTATTCATAATTTGTAAATACTGTATGATTTAACAGCTAAAACTGTGTAAATTGAATGGTGTTAACCATTTCTGGTCTCTCAATCAGCAATATACAAAATATTTGGGTCTGAAATTAGGGACAGTATCTATGTGGTTAAGAACTGAAGACTTCTACAGTACTGTACTTTAATCTTAAATGTTTCAAAGATTTGCCAGAGAAAATAAAGCTATGTTCTCACCTAATAGCATGAGTTTCCTAAATTATTCTTCCTGATGCCTAGGAAAGAAGGATGACTAGTTTCAGTTGCAATCTCATGTGAAGCATCCTTAAGGAGCCTGAATAAGGCAAGTAACTTATAGGACAACTTCAGGGGCAAATTACTTTTCTAAGTAACACATTGATTTCAGAAAAGATATCACATTTCTTACATAGAAAAAATAATGAAACACACTACCACTTTCTCAAAAACATAAACCCCTTGCATGAAATAATTCAGATAATGAGATGATGTTTAGCTGGGCATTGTTTAAAGATAAGTCCAGTGGGAAATTATTCTTATATGCGACACTTATGAGTCACTTATTAAAAATTTTAAAGAAAGATACAATATTAAATGCCATTTACAATGTATGGGAGTCAATCACATCTTTCATGGGACGCATCTTGTACACAACATTTATCCTCACACAAAGATCCATTAAACTATGGCAGAGTGCTGTCTAATTAGTCTGGTGGTAACAGATAAGATGTGATGGGATGGTCAAAAAATGGGGTTTCTCATTTAAGCTGCCCAGGCTTTCAAGACAAGTGTGAACTTAGTACCGGTACACTTGAGGTCTCGCCGGCTTTTGAAGTAACCAATGGGGAAGAAGTCTCAAGCAAATGATTATACAGTCCCCTCCCTGGTGTGATGGGCAACGAGCTGCTCTGTAGTAATTTACACTCATCCATAAGGGTAGTGAAACCTGCTGCTAAACACATCAGAGCCCCTGGACATGAGAGGCTCTGTCATGGAAGATCTAATAGGTAAAGTCCCACACATTAAGTTTCTTTTTCTGCTAATTTTATGAATCTTTAAAACTTTGTTTGTCTCACCAAAGGCACAGCAATTTATTCATGTGTATACAGTACAAATCATGAACCATGCCACTTTTCTCCACATGTCATGCAACCTTCATGCTAAGCTAGAAATAACAAGTACCCAGATAAACCACACAGAGTAATTAGGTTAAACTTTACACAAACAAACCATTATTTTATTAACTTAATAAAATAAAGTAATGATCAACATATGATGAGGAACTATGTGATGCATTGCCTGTGTCAGGGAACATGTGGCAGGAACTGTTCATGTCTTAATTATGTACTCATTTAATGAATTTATGAAAAGACAAATATGGTGATGTGACTGTACTGTATGCTGACTAACACAAGATCACGGATTAAAAAATGTATACATGAAGATTTTGAACAAACCAGGTAACTTTTATCTGTAGCATGTAGATACACAGGCAAGAAAATATAAATACCTGTACCTGTACTAAAGATATTTAAGAAATATTAAATCCTATCTATCCACTGAGTCCACACAAAACAACATACTGTATAGCAACAGCATCAAATCTTATTGATCCTAAATTCTTTCTGAGTGAAAGTGATTTAATCCTTTTGCACTGCCTACGAGAATCATCATCACTGACTTTATGAGGATATTAATATTCATCTCAGAAATGACTAGAACTGTACCTCTACCAAATACTGCATTATCTTTATATATCACAACCCATATTTAAACCAGAACACAAGCAACACGCCCCCACAACATACTGAACGTTGACCATCTCCAAGTTTACGAGACAAAACAACAATGACTCAAAACATCTGCCAGTACATTGTGCAAGTTAGTTTAGCAATTAATATATGAAGCACTTGACACTTGCTTGAGAGAGAATGGGAAATCTGTGAAAGAATGAGGACTGATTGCAGTAGAGTATTAAAAGTGTAGAGAAGTACTAGTGATGTAAGAAGAGAAAGAGAGAAGTAAACATCTATAATAAAACCTCAGTAACACATTACACAAAGTTATTTCCCATTCTTCTACTGTACTTGTCATTTTCTCTCAATTCTATTCTTTTAACATTTCCTAAAGCCTTAACAGTATAATTTTCTACTTTTGTATATATTTGCTGAGACAAACCCCAATCACTTTATACATTAATTTGAAGCACAGTAAGCCCTTGGTGACTGCCTCTTTTGTAATTGCTAAACCACCATGTAACATTCTCTTGCAAATGTCTGAGCAGTGCCTTTGGCCCTTATATCTGAAGATGTGGTATCATCCAGCAAAAGCAATTTGTGAGGAATATTTTTAAATGGTATCCAATTATGAATGTCAATAAGAGCATACAATAAAAGAATGGATGAAATAACTTTTAGGTTTGTAAAATATTTTCCCTCCATGAAATGTAAATCAAGTTCTGTACAAAATGAAACATAAATTGTGAAATCCAATATTATGACCAAGCCCAGAACAAGGTGGGTCACGTCAGATGCTCGCTCAGCTGGTGACCTAACCTTATTGGCCGCGACTTATCTTACAATGGGTCTGTCTTCACCTACAGCAAACATCACTATGAAAGGTAAAATGCAACAAAAGATTTTATCTCTAGCTTACAAGAGGGACATGGTGTCACATCAGCCTGTGTATACCTCGCCATGATGGTTTTTCGAGTGTCAACCTTAATTTACTCCAGATAGATTGCCATTCTAACACATGAGAGGAAGAAGGGCCTCCAACTAAATTATTTCCAAAGATAACCATAAAATAGGATTTATTTTTATGAACACTTCAGAAATACATAATTACCTGTATGTCAATGACTTTACATTTAATCGCCCTTCATATAGTATGTGTTATAAATACTGTATGTTGGTGGACTCTGCTGCCCCCCTTCCCCAACCATCCCCCGGTTTAGGCACCTTGACTATTAAAGCAGCATGGCCACATGTTCTGAGTTGCCTGTGAGGTGAGGAACATTACAAAGGTGGGCAACTGTACACCATATCACATTAAATATTTATCTTGAAGTTAATATATTTAATGTCATACATACAAACAAAATATTTTAATCTCAAGACCAAAATATATTATTGATCTTCTACGTAGAAAACCATTAAATCCTGAAGTAAAAGTCACAATAGCATTCAATACTGAGTCTAAAATAGAAATTCCAGCAACTATTTGAACACTGTCCAAAAGAGTTTTCTCCAAAATCCAGGTCTAACCCCAGGTAGGTGGTCTAAGATAACAACCCATCAAAAGCCAAACTGAACAACACAGTGAGTCAGCTGATGCCCCGACAGAGTGAGTGTTGTTCATTCCCTGTTGGTTTGTAAGTTGTACCAAAACTAGGTTGGTAACAAACTGTAATCAACACTTGCAACATGAAATAAAATAATAATCTGCTAAACATTAACACTAACGACCATATGGCTCCCCTAAAACAACTGCATACACTGAGCCTTCAGTACACAAGAGGGCAGTGTGACTGACACTGCACTTAAGTACCTTCACTTCCCCAACTGCAGGGTTAGGTACCCATTTTACAGCTGGGTGAACTGGAAATGCCCTGAGATTGAACCAGCAGCCTAGACCAGGAATTAAGTGCTATTTCCACTCAATTGCCACACACCTTAAAATAACTTAAACAGTAATGTACTAAATAAACAGAGGTGAAGCCTTATCACCAAAGGTGTTAGGTAGGTGGTGGTCAGTGAGATCCCCTGTTCTCTGGAAGCTGTGCCTGGGGATAAATTGGCCTTATCACCTGAAAACCATCATGGCCAAGATGAGATGAAAGACAAGGTGCACATTAGCTGAGGTGAGGTGATGTGATGCATTTGTTGAGTCTCCAGCCTCTAGTTTACCGGAGGGAAAACCTCCACTTCTACTCTTTCAGGGTGATGGTTGTACAGTAGTGGGGAGGACAGACTAAATATGAGATCAGTCTTAACCACCAGCATCAAGTCTCTTGTGACTAGACCAATAGTTAATGAGTACATTACTTGAGCTGTCTAGTGACGGCAACTGGGTCATATGAATACATATCTGAAACTTGTTGGTAAAATTCCTGGAGTTATAGTGGGAAGCAAAAAATAAACTGAATTATCTTTGTGGAACTTAAGATCTTAAAGACCAGAATTTTGATCCTGCTCTGGACTTTAGTTGAAGATCAGTATTTCACCAACACTACATAAAGATAAGAGTTACAGTGAAAAGGAAGAACTTACATAAATATAAGTTCAGAGGAGATAGCATGCAGGCCACGGGTGAAGCTCATGCGGGGCTTGTCATTCCGAGATTCCTCTCTTGGGGACCCCAGCTCCATGCCGTCCGCTTCTACACTACTGCAAGGCAACCACTTCATGCTGTGGCTCACAAGGTATAGCATGGGGCACTCATGCAAGAGTTACCTGGCTTAGTTTAGCTCAGTATTATGCTCCTCAAATGGAAGTAAGCATTTACTAAGAGGTTTGCAGTATCACAGAGAAAAAGTAATGTGATATAATTTTGCTAGGTTCAAATAGAAACACTCACATTTAAACAACCATGCAAATTGGTACTGTATACATTTTTTGTCCACACAAATGAATTTTTTTTTTCACTATTGTAGATATTATTCAGGGACACATTCCAACCTTTGTGATACAACTATACCATTGGATGAAAACATACTGCAAAAATACCAACATAAATATAGAAATATTTGTCACTGAAACTAGTTTCCTTTTCAGGTAAATAGGTTTCCTGTTATTATTTTTACCCGTGTACTGTACTGTACCATTCTTGTGTTGAGTGGATCAGTGAATAGAGAAGCCTCAGTGAAAGGGAGGAAATAGTATGGATGAGTTGTGCAGGATGTGTAGAAAGCAACAGGAGAGGGTTAAGACAAGAAGAAATGATTGAGTGATCATAAAATCCCTTATATTAGCTAAGCCTGTGGCCAGGTGCCTCTCATTAAAGTTAATGCACTGACCATTTTGGGGGTTCTAGGTCATCACACCTCATCCCCATATGGCTACTGGGGCTTGATTGTATGAATCTCCATCCCCATTACATATGCTCTCTTAAATATGGTGAGTCACAAGGAATGGTTGCCCTTTACAGGCCAGGATGTCTATCAATATTTTGCCAATCCAAAAATTACATGCCATTAGCTGCCATCTTACTTCTAGGACTAGTCTGTCTGCCATTTCATAAACTGGTCCTGGATACAAGATGGCAGCCCATGGTGGATGATGTGGTAGGGTAGGTCTAGTTCGATCATTAGACCTGCTAGCCTCTACTGCTTCACATTCACTTTTTTTTTAGGTGTATGGTGTTGATGAGCAAAGGGGGTATTAACAGATGAGCCTCCAGCTGCTTAATGTTTATCAGGTGTGATGACAATGACTTGCACATTACCTTTAACATAGTGAATATTTAGCATCTGCATTAATCACAATACTTAATATCGAGTCAATGTGTCAACTGAGGAGAATCATCAGGTTTATTTTTCACATTAACATTTCATTATATGAAAATATTCCACTGTACATGATCCACAATAATTCTTCCAAGCCTTATTTAATGTAATACCTTCGAAAAAGTAAATATGGGACTCAATGGCATGAATGCCAATCAAAGACAGTGTGGATACAGTAAACTGCATACAAGATTTTTATTACCAAGGAAGCAACACATCTAACACTACATTTAATCCCTTTTACTTCCCCAACTGTAAAGTCAGGTATCCATTTATTGCTGGGTGAGCTGGGAATACCCAGGGATCTGACCAATGATCTTTAGGATAGGTGGGTAAAGTACTGTACTGTGTTCACTCAGCCACCACACCACATATAATGCCATTTCTTTCAGTATAGAGTATACCATTCATTGTCACCTAATCTTTAATCCACGTCTACCTCCACCTACCGCTGTCACTTACATCCCCATCAAATATCTAAAATATTCAACAGCATTCTCAAATATTTCTACCACCATTTGTATGGGCTCCCCTCTGTGCTGAATAAAGTCATCTATTGTTATCCAACACTGTCTCTGTGAGTAGTGTACCTAAAAAAGGGCATAGACCTCAGTGTACTATATCTCTCTAGCTTATGAGACCCACTTACACCATGTAATGCTCATCATGTTTAATATATTGATATAGTTTTCACCACAACAATCTGTGTCTGTGATAGGACTCATTCTTTATCTTAATTCTAGGTTCTCTGACAGTACCATATGCAGGAAGGTTCTAAGTAGGAATTAGTAAACATGTATAAAAATCACAGTGTAACGTGAACGTATATGACTTGCCCTTTTGTATGGTGGGATGCACTTTCCCAATTACTAACCCTTAAACCAGTGACTAAGGATTCCCAACTCTGCCCCCATATGTGCAAAAATGTAACACAAGCTTAATTTCCACCAATGACGACCACCATTTAAGGATTCATTCTAACGACTCCTTTAATTTTGATCTTATATACAGTACAAATTATTTCTCATATAATTTCTACTGTATGATACACAAAAGTCAAAGCATTAGACAGATAACTTGACCAGAGGCCAACCCATGTCAATACTGTACAATATCTTCCCCTGGATGTACTATGGGGTGGCAGTGATTCATACACTCTCTCTCCTAGTATATCCTTCACCCCATCTGTCCTAGTATATCCTTCACCCCATCATTTCTTTAAAGGCTCACAACCATGTCATCATCCAGTGACTTCTTAAACCGATAAGTCTTCTTCACTATAAACATTTATTATTATTCTCTCCTCTAAAGTATGAGACTTCGTTCCAACACCTGCACGCCGCTCCTCTCCCCACATTCATGTCACCACCCACAATCTTCGACCCACAAGTCCAAATAACCGCTCGATCTGATCAATAAATAGTGGACATGACGTTTAGCTCGAGTCTTCTCTCGTGTTAGTTCCGTCCCGTCCAGTGATACTCCTACTCTAGTCATTGTAAGTGTGTGTGTGTGTGTGTGTGTGTTTTTTGTCGTCATTTCTTGCTTAACGTCTCTCCTCCTCCTTTTCCTGGTACATTTTCCTAGCTCTGTGTCTCCATGATGGCTGCCATTCTCCTAGCTTTATGTCTTCATGGGATTCTCCTCAATTTTTTTGGTATTTGTATCTTGTTCAAAGGTTTTATTCACCAGATATGAAACATAAGGTTGGTACACTTATAAACTGCTTTGGAAAGTTCAATCGCCATGTCATCCATTCCTGTACGTTTCTTCTTCCATTTTTGTGTCGTTTCTAAATAATATATCAATTCTCACATCGTTAGCGTTTAGTGCTAACTCCTTTAACTAGTTGATATAGTCACCTGTGATTAATTTATTATCAATTAGAGTTTAAACTAAGAGAGATAATGCAGTACTATTATGCCCCGGTAACTGGCAGATACTGTTTACTTATGAAGGTAGATTTATCCGCTGCTAAACAGAAGCTAAAGTGTACAAAAGAAAATAATGGCAGAAATGAGATATAAGAAAGGACAAAAAAAAAAAAAAAGAAGAAACTAAGATTACCTGAAAATTAGCCCCCAAGATTATTTTACCTTAAGATTAACCACCGTAATGCTGACCTAACCCCTCGTCCTTAAAGTAGCCCTAGGACACTTATCTAATAGGTGAATAAGGCTCGGAGGAGGGGGAGAGAAAGGGGCGGCCTAATCTAATTGATCCCAAAATTACTTTATAAGAGTTTATGCTCGTACCTATGCAGCCCAACACACAAAAAAAAGCAGAGCACAAACAAAGCACCTGATACTGACTGACAGACAGACAAACAACGGCCCCTGTAGTACACATCACATAGCACGTAGAAGCACAGTTACAAGCAAATTACAAGTGACAAGACTCCCATGTGAGTATGAAAGGATGAAATTTGTATATAAAAAAAAAGGCCAGGGAGGGAGCTTCAGAACTCAGTGATCGACTCAACACTATCATACTCATGTATGTGTTATTGTTAGTGTAGTTGTTCTCGAGTGTTAAAGTTAGTGGAATTGTTCTAGTACATAAAAGTAAGTGTTCTTGTAAGAGTGTGTGTGTGTGCTTGGAAGAGTCTCTACTCATTGCTAGTTAGATATAATGAAAAAATGGACAATATAAATAAATAATACACCCAGGAAATGCCTCATAACATTCATCGACACAAGTATATGTACGTCAATGAAGCATCTTTTTTTTTTTTTAGTAACACGTCGAAGTAGGTAAAAATTCACCCTCCAATTAGTGTTATGTGTCAGTGCTCTCACCCTTCTGACACCTGTATGAAAGTTTGTTCCTGAGTAGTGTAAATGATGGTAAAATATGAAGCACATGACTGACTGGTTATTTACATTAAACTATGATATGATGGCTCTAATATCATCTACACAACACTGTACGTGGACACAAACAAATGCAGACACACAAATACATAAACAAGTTGGCATAAAAAATACAGACAGACAAAATGAAACAAACTAACACACACACACACGAACACACATATACACTAACATTCACCCACAGATACTCATTCTTACATTTCATAACACTCATAATAACCAAACAGTAAATACTGCTGGGCAAAATATCACACAAGCCAAAATCAAATAATCAAGCAGAAGTCTGTGGCATCTTCCTTATGAGCATCAGGCAAATGAAGCTGACGCAACAACAAGCACATATAAAATAAAGACTACTGCATCTGCACTGCATACTCCAAACAAGCAACACTGCACAAGATAAGCTTAAATAGCTTTTATAGGTGAGTCTTCCTGTCTGTGAGAGCTGAGAGATGCACATTACTAGATCTCTGTCATACTCTGGGTGCTCTAGTCTCTACACTGCACATTTAAATAACAAGAAGGAATTTTCACCTAAAGTTCCATCACAACAGAGGCTTCAGACCCAAGCCTGGCAAGGAGAGGAACTATTAACCAAGGGAAAAGACTTAAAATGGTTCAAAATTTTTACTAAAATCAATATGTAAATAATCAAACTAAAATAAACAAACAACCTAATGAATGACTCCATGAACATGAAACAGCTCAACCTAGTCACTGATGATCTTCCATTCTATTAAGTAATACACACAATATGATGAATTAAAGGGAAAATAAGATGAGTTCAGAAAAAAAAATAGATTATACAATTCCACATGAAATCTGCAAAAATAAATATAATTGTTACAAAACTCACTCATGATTACTGTACAGGTGGGAGGAACGTGATGCCTGATCACTGTTGACACTCAGCTGAGACTGAAGCCTCAATGGACGAATCTGAATTTTTAAGTCCTCTGGCATCTCCTGTACAAAGAAGTGGAAACAAAAAATTCATGCACCATCATCTAGCTTATCTACCATCATCCACTCTACAGTACACAAGCCCTGAGATGTCTGGTGGTGGTTAAGACACAAACATAGATACAGCACTCTCAGTGAACCAATGTCAACCTGACACTGGAAATGTTTTGAAGTTTCTCACTGCTACACAAGATAGACTTGTGATTGTCCTTAAGAAAGGAAAGTGTTTCACTGAAATACACAATGTCTCCCTACACTTGGTGCTGCACGTGTATCTAACACTGAGGCGACCTAAAAATGACACTACAGTGTAAATCACACTCTACAACACACTCTTTATCCCTGAGCTTCTAATTATAATTATCAATAATATTAAACACTTCAGCTCCACTGGTTTAAACACCATCATGACCCAGCAATGCTTTGCCAATCTGATAAGGTAATCAATGGGCCACCTAAATTAACTGTTTTCTTACAATAGATCTGCTTTATGAAAAAGAGAAAAGTCCTACTGCTGAAGTACTGTACAGTCAAGCACAAGTTAGACCATATCTTTTTCTTCAAGTTCATTTACCCTGGTATTTACTTTGTACAGTAACACATGATAGAGGAAGCCTGGAAGCTATAGATTTTCAACTCAGGTATTGTTAAAGTTGCAAAACCTGCTTGAGCCCATTCTTATATGGATATGAATGATTTATAAGCAATAAAGGAACAGTTTCTTAATCAAATTGAACTATGAAATAAGTATTCACTTACAGCTTCCCCATACTTGTCTTGTACTTGTGCCTTCATCTTACTAAACGACGTCACCATGTGCTCATGAAGCCCAGCAACGGGCTCAGTCACACGGTTAGCATGAATGGAGAGAGCAGCTTCTAAAATTGGTATCTGTAATGGAGTAAAACCCAGGCAAACATGTAACTACTGTATTGTAGTACATATACAGTAAATGGATATTCCCATTATCAGTAAAGTGTGCAATGCAATTATTCCTCATCCAATGTGAAAAATAATCTAAGCTTGCCCACCCAGCTTATCTTTACTCTTCATAACCTTCTCATATCACTGTGTATCATACAATCTCTGAATATCACTCTGCATATAACACTATCTCTAAAAACTACTTATTAACTTCCTTAACATCAGTTATTTTTACATAAACAAAGAATTATAAAAATAAGATTATTTTTTTAAGATAAATATACAAGCACAGTATTCACCTGAGCAGCGATTAGGTGGCGCAAGTTGTCCAGTTTCTCTTCATCGTTGGGGTGACTCGCAATGTACTCGGGAGTCAAGAATGCCTGAGTTTATCCCAAAATTTTAATATCCTGGAATGCTTAAATTCCTAAAAATACTAAATTTCACAATAATTTGCAATATTAAACACATAATAATTGAATAACATTTCAAACAAGTTATAAATATTTAACTTTAAACACAACTACAGTATTAAATACAGTAATCATTTAAGCAGAAAATCAAATAAGTATTCCAAGCTTGCAGAAAAACATGAATATCCTGTATCATGAACAAACCTTTTCATAATTTACAATGCCACCCATGACAGCAGCATCAACCATGCCTGAAACTTTTCTCGTGAGTGGATGTAGTAGTAGGGTGGAGTCTCGAGAATACTTCTTGACCAGGTCGTACACTTCTGTGTTAGCGGTGGACATAGTTTCTACGGCATTCTCTAGGGGCGACAGTTCTATTGATCTAGTCTTAATAACTGGGAAGCACCGAAGGATTCCTGTAATGGTACAGTAAAGGGTTCATCTTTTAATGACCATTAGAGATGAAGCTATGGAAGTAAGTTGTAATGTCTTGAGTCTACAAATATAATCATGTCACTAAATATCTGTACGAGTATATGCCTATTCTTACACAAATGAGTCACACACACAACCGCATGCGCACACACACGCGTGCACACACACACACACACACAGACAATATCCGTAAATTAATATTCATAAAAGTTGCCTTAATTCTTATGACAAGATAATGAAGTCATCCAACATACCAGGTAAGGAGTATGAGGTTGTTAGTGTTGTTTTCTCAATGCACAATGTGGCAAACTCATTTGTAGGATCCTTCTGTCCACGATGGAAGGGACGAGAGTAAGTAAAGACCTTGACGTGGTTTGCTCGATAGTAACTCCGTATTTGCTCTGCGACGGCAGTAGACAAGAGCTTTTGACCCTGTACTGCACAGTCAACTTTACTGATCTGCAGGACTGAAAAATAAATGCAAATAAACTTCATTACTAAAAAATTATTATAATTCCAATCAATTAAAATAACATTACAAAGACAATAACATAAAAACAGAAACTTTCATATGTGATAAGGGTAACTGTTCCACACATGCTAAGACTTAAACATCATCACGTACAGAATTATGGTTGACACAGGAAATGACTTAGCCATTGGCCCACACACAGTTTTGGAAGTCAAGACATTAAGAATTCATGTTAGAGGATGTGTTACAGTCAAACCTCACTTATTTATACATTTTATTACAGTATTTTGATCTAGTGGTAATGTGTAGCTACATCATCAGAAAACAAGACCAATAGGACTGCCTGAAGATTGTTTAAGGGATCGTACAAAAATAGCCTATTGTCTGGCAGCTCACTGCTGTTTAATTAAGTACAGTACCTGTCTTCTAACAATGAATCTATATTTTTTTTCTTTTTTGACGAGAATTTACTCAAACCAAGTCATCCTGCAAGAGTGAAAAAGTATTTGAAACTCTTGAAGTAAGAATCTTTTATAATGAACACTGATTTTGCATGTATATCTGCTTCCTGATGGAGGAGCCTTGTTGGGTGGCACATAGCAAACAGTATATCCTAATCAGCAATCTAAATAAAAGAATGACCTCTTGGGGGTTATGAGATTTATAATTAAGTAAATTATGGGGAATTCCAACAGAAGCTTCCTTCTCCAACAGAGGCTTCCTTCAAAAATCACATATATTAACCAAAGAGGTTCAAAACTTGTGTAGTTTCCTGAAGTTCTTAATATTTGGTCAAAGAAAACAAAACAAAACAAAAAATAAGACAAAATTAAGAGAAACAGATGGATGGAGACATAAAACAATCTCAACATCAACTTACACTGCTGTGGTGACTCCTTGACCTCATCACTTGGAGGTGTCAGCTTCTTCATTAGCTCAGCATTAGGAAACTGATCCAGAATCCGTGAGGTAAAGTCGGCTAACCGCTCAAACCCATTTCCCCGGTAAACAAACACCTGCATTGTATTCAACAGTTGTTTAAAAACTCAGTGACTACGAACAAAAAGATTAATACAACATTACCTCTCACTATTTACTCTCTCCCCAGCTACACAACTCTCTACTCATCACAACAACCGTATCTGCCATTAATTTACCCGTTTGCTTATTCTATCCAATTTCAGAAATCCGTATCCATGTTATATACAGTATATGATGAACTCTACAGTATACTTGCATCGCTTATAAACAGTCTGAATCAATGTAAACTTTTATGATGATTTTACTGAATAAGTATCTACCAGTATCTATTCACTTCTACAGAATAAGGACACAATGGCAAGATGGAGCAAAATGTCTTCCTTTACTAATTTTCAACCATCACTGCTTTCCTTCATGCTCTATCAATATGCCTACCATAACCTTTCATCAATCTTTCTGCTTTCCTAAATTTCACAGGAACAAAACCTGAACATTACTTCTACCTTATTCTGAAGAAAAGCCGGGAATCCTCGTCCATAATAAGCTACCCTGAAATACTCTGACTCGGGACGAAGGTTCTGTGGATTCATTATATTTCTATAGAAGCCAGCCATACGGTTCAGGAGGTCGGATAGCTTGACGTAATTGACGATCACTTCCTCATAATGCTTCACCAACTCTTTACACAGTTTGACTGCATCCTCCCACATCTGTTGAAGAATAATCAATCAATCAAGGTACCATCTTCATATTTGAGGGTTGCAGACCACAGTGCGTCCACTCTAAATGTTTTTGGGCTGTTTTTACCAATCACACACAATACATTATAATACTTAACCAAAGTGCAGTGTGGCATATTTCTCCGAAATATCCTGCTGCTGCTGCAGGTGTTCCCATCAGTATTAATTTACACACTTCAGGACAAACAGTATTTGATTCACTCTGAAATTGCTCATTCTATCACCAAGACATGAACCTTCAAAACACTGTATTACTAAATATGCTTCCTTAATTACTTTTTTCCAAGTATTGTACAGTACAGTACAGTCCCATCTACTTTGAAATTCATACTGTTCATTTTTCACTAATAATACTTCCACAATTTAGAAATAATACAGTGTATTTTAAAGTTTTCTAGAAGTTGTCTTTCTACTCTCAACATAATTTTTACAGATAAATATGAAGAAAGCTTCACTCTCCTCATCCTCACACTTATTCATTACTTCTTAATTGGATACACAAGCCAATGGCCCAAGTTTCAGCATTAATTCTAATTCTGTCTCTAGCTTTCTTCCCTACTACATTAGCTGACCCTTATTAAATATTAGTTAAATCCTTAAAATCTCCCTTGCAACACAAATCTTAAATCTTTACCAAGCTTTTCAACCTGTAGACTTGTTTGATTATACTGAAGTTAACTGAAAAGGCATCACACACACACTATAAAAATTGGGGTGTGTTAGAGAATGATCACATGTATCCACAGCCGCCACAAAGATGCAACACAACTCACCTTTCCCTTGTCAAAGTAGCTAATAATCTCCTCGTACAGCTTTTCCTTAAGCTCGTCGTGACGATCAATGTTGAGGTAATGAGGTGATCGGAGTGCTACAGAGAGAGGGTCTGAGGACCAGCGCAAGAGATCGGCATGCTGTCGCAGGGTATAGCCGGCCTCGGTGTAGTTGTCACAAGCCAGGTGAAGTTCAGACAACTTGTAAACATATCGGAGGTAAAGTTCCTTTCTATTTATTTCAGAGTAGAAATCCTGGAAAAGAATTTAAAGACATTAGCTGGTAACCTCTAATGAATTTTAATTATCCTTTCCAGGATACACACACATACACATACACACACACACACACACAAACACACACACACACATATATATATATATATATATATGCAGTATACATATCATTGAACAATTTTTGATGTAAAAGAACAATAAGAACATTATGATTACCAAGAGATTAACAATACAACTCATGCGTGTTTCTGCCGAGTTGTCAGGAGTGTTCATGATGGTACGGTATTGTAAAAGTCGATCCATCAGTCTAGTAACAGTGCTGACAAACTTGCGGCCGGGTTCCCTCATAGTTGCATGGTCTTCATACAGTGCACCGATGATGTTCTGGAACACCTGACGGTAGTGTTCGTCTCCATGACCACTTTCCACAAGCTGGTCTAATTTCTCAAGCATTTCATTCTCAAACTGAAAAAAAGAAAATACAATGATCAAATTAAAGAAACAAAAAACAGAAACAAATGTCTAGATTAGATACTATAACTGAATGTGGGTTACTTGTTAGTGACTTTGATGCTGTTAAACTTGACTCTTGAAAATTCAATAAACAGTTCTTAGCTGCTTTAATGTGTCACAGTACTGTATTTCTTTAAGAACTGTGCTTACCTCATTAAACTTCCCCTTATTCTTCTGGTTATTACGAGCCATGTCTGGAGGCAGATCTTTCCCTTGATCTCGTGATGAATAAAACTCACACTGCATCATGTCAAAGAAGATGGGTATGGTACCTTTACGAAGCTCCACGTCAGGCAACATTGTCATCTTAAGGAATGGACCAACCATGGACTGCCTACCATCTGTTGCTGCTACAAATCGTATCTTGTGCTGGCCTAGTTAATAATAAGTAAGAAGTAAGTCTCTTATCAAGTATTTCTAATTACTGATACCTGTATTACACAAATTTTATATAATATCGTATACACTCAACCCTTATTGCGTTAAACTTCCTGGAGGAAAGAATGAGTTGACTTAAACAAAAACATACATTACAGGAACTAAATACATTTGTAACTTCCAGCATATCAGCACCACAAAAATTGGTGTTAACATCACCCTTGACGGTGGGTAATCTCCAGGCAACATAAGCAGGGGTGTCATATTTAAGAAGCCAGTAAAGACTGCCAAGTGTATGCACAGGTAAGAAAGATTAGGGGTAGATAAATATTGAGATGACAAGCAACATCCTCCCTGATTATGTCGAGAAACACTGAATCAACGATGGCTAAGAGAGAGAGAGAGAGAGAGAGAGAGAGAGAGATACTCAGATAGTTACCTAAACTGAACCATAAACTCTTGATATCTAAGGAAGTATCTCGACGCATATCACGGTATCTGCTAATTATTTTATTTCTCTTGCTCTGTGTGAAATCCTCCAGTTGCAAAGATGGCTGAAAAGGGGAAAAATTAAATAAGTAATTACTATATACATTAACCTCTGAGGATGTTTATTACACACAATCGCTTGGGAACTGTGTGTTTTCTTTCTACGTGCTTATCAGTATAGAATATACACAGTAGTACATAGATCATGCACACTTTCAGTGATTTATTTGCATTCATTATAATTGTAAACTTCGAGAGAAATAAAATAAATTATCTTTGGTATAATATTATTTTTCACAGCAAAAACCTATTTCTGGTTATTTACATCAGTCTAAAGTATACTGTCCTGTGCAACTGTTTACTTATGGTTCAAAACAACACTACATAACTACATAACTATAGTACTGTACTGTATTCACATAATTCCTCTTGACATACATGTAAAATATGGTTGAGAAATACGTCTCTGTCGTACCTGAGTGATGAAACTGATGGCACAATGAAAGAATTTACACCATACGGGTTCTTTGAAAGGGTCGAGGAGTCTTTCACAAATTACTCGTGAACACTGTTTTAGTACTGTCACAATTACGCTGTAGGAGGAAAATAAAGGGAATAACACTATGAGATTACAGTATATTATTATGACATAAATAACATAATATATGATATAAATATAACCTTTTTTTAATTTAAATAATGTACTGTATTACCTCAACATCATTGTTTTGAAGCCATTTTCCATGCTTGCATGGGTTAGCCTACCTATCATTATGTTTAAATACTACATAACAGGTGCTACTACAGTGTGCGGTCTACAACATATTTACACTACAATTTGTCCAAGTCTAGAATGTGTACCATCAAAATTTTCTTGGTGATTTAGTATTAAAAATATTTAAAGCTTCTATAAGGAATGAAACATTAGTCATATTTAATGTTCTTACACTAAATCATCTTTATGTAAGAACAAGTGGGAATAGAATATAGTAAACAACTTAAGACAATACCTTTTCTCACTTTAACACAAATTTCATCATTTCTAAAGACTTTTTAACTTTCCTTGAGTCTGAACAACTGCTTCCTGGACTACAGTTGTTCAGACGCAAGGTGACTCCTGTCATGTTTGAGTCACAGCATAGTGCTCGGCCTGTTGGCCTCTTTGAATATCTAAGAGAGGTGTAACCCTGCCTTGCCAGGTGTTCCCACCCTGTGGATTGGTATTAGGTAGGGCATACAGCCATAAAACTTTGCTTCAATATGCATAATGGCAACTGGGTCAGTAGAGATGTGCCCACCCCTGGTTTCTGCTGCATTTTATGGGCTGGCACCCTGGATTTGTAGTGGTGAGAGGGGGCAACCATCCTATGTGGTTGTATCCAACAGCTGTCATTAGGAAATTCTGATTAACGTCAATGATGATGACGCTCAATATGAACTCGTGGTGGCTTTTACAAAAACAACGATTTCATTTATAAACAAAACCAGCTACCTTCTGTGTATAAGATATTTCTGTAAGTAAAATAATATCCAAAAGAGTAAAGAGGAACTTTAAGATTTATCACATTAAACATTTGGACTAACCTGTTCTGAAGGAGGATCATCTCTGCCCAATCTGATGGAAAAACTGGTACTTTCACGAGGTTCTCCACAACCAAGAGGAGGTCTAGTAAGAAGATGCAAAGTTGATCTGAGGTTTGAAACTTGTTCAAGAAGTTCTTATAATGCCGTTCGGTCATTTGCCGCAGGAGGGAAACCAGCGCACTCACAAATTTACACTGAAAGTTTATTTACCAATGAGAGAATGTCTTCTTATAAGATATACTGTACCATTTTTCATTATTTGTCTATTTCCAAGTCTCTGATTTTGTACATGCATATAGCACACAGTAAACCCCTGTCGAGAATCATGTTAGGGTCTACAGAGTTTTGTGCTCAATCAAACTTAATTTCTTATGGGAAAATCAGGAATATGTTCCTTGACCCTCAAAATCTCTTGCTTATTCCCAATAAAATACTTTCTTTTACATACAATTAATGGCCTTGAAAGATCTTAAATCATTATCCTATTCTTCTACAAACCAAACAATCTTAGTTTTTATATCATTTAAAAGATCCCAAATAAACATAAAAAACCTGAAAGTTGCTAATATAACAAAGCCCCAGCCACTGAACAGCTGAGTAGTGTAGCAAACAAGCAAACAAATAGTAGGAGTGTTTGCCTAGCAGTTCTGGATTTCACAATTCAGCAACAAGTGATTCTGGGTTAAATATCCATGATCCACCTGTACAACCCCTTCATCTAATTAAATCTACCCAAATGAATTAACAAGCATCTCATAATTCGTCATAATTCAGTGAAATACAGTATACATTGGGAGAATTTTGAAAGATGGATGGTAACTCAGTTCTCATAAGTTACCAATTCACATCACATCAGACTGTGGACTGATGTTTTATCATTAAGATGGAACTTGACTCTCTCACGGTTTATTGTGTAGTGCTTTGTAAGATTCTGTAGGATGATCTTATCTTCAGGTTTGGGTAATAACCAAAGTACTGTGTATGTACTGCACTGTACAAACCTATGAAAAATGAACCCAGGCTGGGGAGAGGTCCTGGATCCAAGGCTAACTGTTATTTCAGCTACAGTATTATCAATGGGTATTTCAGGCATTAATGTAACGGACTGTGCTTTAATAAAATGGTTGAAACATCCACAGGTAGATAAGGCTGAAAATTACAGTAGCCAAAATGTACATAACTCGGTGAATGGATCTACAAGACTACAAGGTCCTACTGACCTGCTGCAGGCTACAGTAATACAAGTTCAGTCTCTCCTCGACTTACGACGGGGTTCCGTCCCGACGACCATGTCATAAGTCGAATTGGTCGCAAGTCGAAAAGGCGAAAATAATACATAGAAATTCTAAAATGGGTGTCTCTTTTTCTTCCCAGCACCACGAGAACTCTCACTTTTACGCTTGCCAGCCATTTTAAAGAGAATTACAAACGAAAATTTTGTTAGTACGCAGCGCGATCACTAACGTCGGGACTCGAGAATAAGTAATGTGAAAAATATTTTATACAACCATGGCCGTCGTATTCCGGGTTGTCGTAAGTCGAGGGGAGACTATAATTCCCTGAGGCATAAAAATAATTCCCCAGAAAAGTTTGCCATGAGAGAAGGATATAAGATACTCATGACCAAGATATAGTTGGTGTTTACTGTAAATATAATGTGCACCGATTTTATATCTTTGTTTCCTCTTAATCTAAGAGAGATAACATGTGATCAACTTACAATAAGTGGGTCATCTCGGGTCATCCTGCAGATGGTGGACAGAATAGCTTCCAACATTTTGAAGGACAGCAAACTTATATCTTCAATGGTTGGTCCCACATCAGATGAAAACAGTACATCCAGAATGTCTCCCAGAATTTTCACACATAATTCCAGCTTGTTGATGGATGAAAAAATAATATTAATAATAATACAAAGCCAATGTACTGACATAGATTTTTGCTCTCAATAATGTACAGTATATCACATCATTACTTTAACATGTGTTTCCATTCAAATTAAACTACAGAAAATCATGTAACAATTGTAAGTGATTATAACTATGCAAAATATACACCAATTACAGTAACATCTATAATACTAAGCACAGCCAAATAAAACACAGCAAAATAATAAAACACGTCAATACAACAATAACATGCATATTAACTGCTAAACAAATTATAAAACACAAAAGAACTGTAAAAGGAGCTCTGACAAGAATCCAAAAGGGTTGAGATCTACTGTAACTGTGAATCAGGAAAAATAACCCGACCAAACCCAGAGATGGTGTTTATAATACTCCCTGCACCACATGCCGCCACTGACTGACCACCTCACACCGGTGTTAAAAAGAACCAACCAATAGGAAACAAGTCACAGAATTTTTAATACACGAGCAACAATTGGGATGATCGGTGAGGAGTGTGATGATCGACTTTGTTTATACCCGCGACTGACTGTTATCCGAGTTAATGGACTGTGATGTTGTGACCCATGACTGTTATTTGAGTCGATAGTTACGGCAGAATGTAACGTAGCTCTGTAATAACGTACCGTGGCGGGTAACCAAGGTACGATTACAGCATTCCACCGTTACTGCCGGATGTAATTAATGACAAACAATGTGAAGGAAGAGTTACAGGTATATGATGGGTCACAACAATAAAAGACTGATGAGAGAGAAAAGAACTTTGAATCAACACATCTCCAACCTGTAATTATTTCAGATTATACTATGTACAGTGAAGCAGACCAGAGGAAATGAACCACAACTGAAGAGGAGGGAGCCAGGAGTGAGTTGTGTCAGATAGCATCTATAATCCAGCTATATTATTTGGGGGAGGCAATATAGCTACAGCATATTAGAATTATTTAGTAACTTTCCACATTCTTGCCACTCTGATATGAAGCTAGTGTGTAAAATGTTAACATTAGTCTACTGTACTGTACACCCTACCACATGTTAACCAAGTCATGTAATGCTTACCATCAAATATTGCAAACTGAAATTATAGATATGCATTTAATAAATAGTAACTTCCCCAAACTTATTTGATAAAACATTCAATAATTTTGTTCATATTAAACTCACTATGATATAATTTTCTTTTCAGGTTCATCAAATTCTTCCATTCTTCTATAGCAAGAAAGGTGTATCTTATTCCAAGTGATTTAATCTAAGGTCAAATATATTTAATAAAAATCATAACTTAATATAAATAATTATAATATAATACTTGAACATTACCGGTAGTAAGATGTTGTAAATAATGCTTTATCATATAAAAAAATATAACATTTAATTTTTTTAAATCAGATATCAAGCAATAATATTGTACTACCTACAATCAATCTCCATACCCAACAAACAAAACTCAAGTACTGCTTCATTGTTAGGGAAGCAAACAGTGCAAAAGCAACCCACATAAATATCTGTCAATTCTAATTCACTTGTGCATTATGCAGTAAGTCACACACTCAAATATTTGTCTAAACCTATATTTTTGATTCCCAAAAGACTATTTCTTCTTCATTCTTCTAAACACATCCTTAAAACACTCCTACAGTCCTTTCATGTTGACCAACTCTTAGGTCATGACTATAGCAACACATAATCTCTTCCTCTCCGACAATTATGAATGCTAACACAGACTAATATGTTGCTTCTGTTGAGGGAAGTCTATTATACAGTACTGTACATGCACTACTGTACTGCACTTCCATATATATTTTTGAGTTAACACAGATCTATGACCTCAATATTCAAAAGGTAAAGCCCTGGACTCCCAAACTATGACATAGCTTCAGTCCTATGCATACCTATACTCAGCATCTTCTAATACAGTATTGTAAAAAGCCTGTGTCTAACTATATACAGTAGTTTATAATGATTGTTGTTACTGTAATTCTGAGGTGCCAACTGATTCTCAAACTAACTTACATATTCATGGTATCTTCATCTAATAAATGGACAATTACTTAAAATTTCCAATACAGTATAAAACTAATGTTCACAAAACCTTAGAACAGGTTTTGGTTTTTATGTGTATCTCTGACACTAAGCTCAACTATATTACTTGTAGAACTTTAGCAGACCATGATTACAATTTCAGTTAAGAGAAACACATTTAAAACCTTTAAACCATGATAAACCTAAGACTAATAACTTTAATAAACCACACCTATTAAATAATGCTCTCTCCTGTGTACATTACTAATTAAACCCAAGACAATAATAACAGCACTGTACACCCAGAAACACATACATCATCCATTACACCCTTACCGACATGATACGAACGAGTGCTTAGTGTCAATACTGTGAACCCTTTTGTCTGTCGTTCTTACCTCCTCCGTCATGTTGCGAGCTTCAGGCAAGTGGGCGAGACTGTCGAAATCCAGCATTCTTTTTAGCTTCTCGATATTTCTCTCTTTTCTCATTACAACCTCATAATCTGCTGCCTGAGGATGCCACAAAGTAACATGGTGGTGGAGGGAAGGTTATATTGGCAGTTGAAGGAGGGTTATATGGTGGAGGAAAGGTAACAAGATAAAGAGATGGTGTAGGAGGGTCAGTGATGAGGAGCAAGGAACAGAGCGATACACATAAAAGCAATTAAGAAAAAAAAAACACATGTAAAAATGAAGGATGATAATGATAAGATAAAAAAAGGGAAAAAATATAAATTAGATGATATGTTTCCTGAGAAGAACTTCCTCTGAAAAGCAGTATATTAATTTCAAATATATATAGAAAATGATGAAAGAATTGAGTAAAATAAAACAAGAGGAAACAATGTATACGAATGTGTGTAATTGTCATATAAATGGACATGTATCTTAGCCACAGTTTAGTTCCAGGGCCAATGATCACACGACCCAGAAACTGATCTGTATGTGATGAAGATTTTGAACAATTCTTCAAATAAGTTGATAAATTATCATAAAATAAAAGCTAACAATGATAAGTGTTCTAATGCCTGCTTATTCATTCCTTACAAAAATTATTACACCAATTTAGTCTCTTTTTACCAGACACATTCAAAACCAAAAGCTATTTAGTGTCCTGCTAAGGAGATATATTTTACCCTGGCAGTGAACAGAGATGTTGGTACTAAGTGCTATAGGCTAGCTACTCTAACACATTAAAACCTCCACTCATGCAAACTTTATAGTTTTTATTTTTATCTTTTTTTTTTGTTGGGTTAGAGGAACAGAATGTAACAATGATATTCTTAAAGTACAGCAGGTGATGTTTCAGGTACTGTACTGTACTGCATCTTTGGTCAACAGGGAAAATCTGATCAAGCTATAATATCAGTTACAGTGACCCCTCCGTTAACGAACTTAATCCATTCCAGAAGGTCGTTCGTTAACCGAAAAGTTCGTAAACCGAAACCATTGTTTCAATGGGTTTTTGGGTAATTGGTTCCAGCTCACCGAAAATTTCCTAAATTCAACAAAAATGGTAGAAAAGTTCACTTACTTTGAGGTGTGTATGTAGAAGGCTCCTGGATGATGATGGGATTTAGAATGGGGGTGGAGGAGAAGGAAGAAAAGAAGGCATTGGGGTGGAAAAGAAGTCACCCCATGGCGCCATTTCACCCATAAAATTTTAGCTCTCTTGGTATAATTCAAGATTATTTTCTTTAAATCAACACTGCACTGCATTATATATTGTCAATATGTAAAATATATTTCAAAATGACCAATAATTTGCTTGGAAACACAGAAAAAAAGCGTTTAGTTGAAGAGAGTCTCAAGCAAGATGTTACCTCCAGTGAAAACAGAGAGAGACTAACTCCTGTTTGCTGTGTTAAGAAGCTGGATGCTGCGCATTAAACTAGTCACTTTACCTTCAATTATGTTCAAAGTGTTAAAATGACTAAAAAATTGAATATTAAACTTTTAAAATTATTGAATAGTATAAACAACTTGATATTTACTAAAATAGTAAGGAATTTAAGCCCTAGAACCGATTAATGTATTGGCGGACTGATACTAAAGCTGGTTGCCCGGTCAGTGCAAGCAAAAACATGTTGAGGTCGGTTCGTAAGAACTTCGTTAACCGAATTGAAGATCCTTATGGAAGGCAGTTCGTTAATCGAAATTACGTTAACCGAGGTGTTCGTTAAACGAGGGGTCACTGTACATTGTTCTTCTATGTAAAAAAAAAAATGTACTAAAGTAGAATCTCTCTAGTTCTCTAATCACTCCATGTCAATTTCATTCACAATCTGACAATCCAACAAATCTAAATACAAAATAAAATAAAATACCCATAATGAACAGTTACAGAAGTGCTGGTCACCTTCAAGATCACCACACACAATTAGGAGTTTGAGGATAATGTCCTTTCCAAAGCTTTGTCACCAACCAGCTGACATTAACATGGGTCACTGGGTACATTAAAATACATTCTGACAAATGGGATACTTTTTCAGGGTTTTGATAAATTTTCTTAATTTTTATCGATTTGTGATTTAGCTGCAAGTGTGTTTTTGTTTGAGTGCTGTTGTTAGCTGTTAGTGTACTATACTGTATGTGTTTTTGTCTATCTCTACTGTTTCACTTATCCTTAACACTTGACACTGGACAATGAAGGTCATAAGAAAGTAGCAAGGAACAGCCCCAACTGACCGAGAAGCTAGCAAGTTGATGAGTGGCGGACATGATAAATTAGGGATCAAATCTTAACAAAAACTCATAGTAAACACTGGAACTCTGTGAATAATTTAAGAAAGAAATTTAACAAAGAAAAAGGTAACCTGGTGCCACATCATCATCTCATACCCACACTCCTCCCTCCCTGACACTTGTAACCTCTCGTGTACAATATCTGCACCACCTCCATCAATAGTGGGTACGTGTATTAATATGTACACTACACTACACTATTTCATTTCTAACTCTGTGCGTATTTACTGTACATGATAATTTGTATTTATGGTCTTTGGTTCCTAATATACAGTAAGTCATGTATATACTTGATATTTTGTGCTCAAGGTCCAAAGCTCTATCACCAACCAAGTGACAAGTAACTCTGTAGTCTGCAAAATTTACATGTCTACCAATCAGTGAGTCCTATAGTGTGCCAACTAGAGAGGTTCTACTATATTTTCCATGTGTCCAGTACAATAAAATAAATATGTTGACAAAGTTAAAATTTATTATCAGTTTCATCATGAGTTTGGTTTAGAATAATAACAAACATTAAATGTCTTCAAATGTAATGATCCCTTGTGTATTATCTTAATTGTTTTTAAACTGTTTGGTCTATATTCAGGCATTTATTTAAGAGGGACTAAATATAGTTGTGTTTATAAGTAATGAAGGAGTTTTAACCTGAGGACACATTCAGTGAAGTTCTTTAAATAATGTGAGTACTGCTGGATTAATGATGAGAGAGGGAGAGTCCAGCAAGAGGAAGGTTAAGTTCACATCAATGTTCTTGGAATCTGACAAGAGTGACTGATAATGGAAGGAATGACATAGGCGCCCCTGAAGTTGGAGGAGGACAGTGAAATGGGAGTTTTTATAGTAAGGGAGGGGGGAAAGGTTAGGCTTGTGGGAAGGGAGTGATCTATAAGGTGGGATGGGAGGCTTGAAGGTGTATGCTTCAAAAACAATAACTGAAAGAAGCCTCCAGGAATTACTGAGAGGTGAGAGGAAGATGATTGGGGAAAGGGAGAGGGTATATGCCTTTGTATGGTGGTTTGGTTTTGCTTTTAAGTTCCAGAAATAAAACATATTGACAAAATTGGCAAAAACAAAACAAAAACTGTATGAATAGCAGCAACTGTACACTGAGTAATTCTCTGTATCTAATGTTGTCTTACAGAGCATCTTAGGCAGAAAAAACATCGTATGGTGAGGAAAGATAAACTCAAACATTATTAATCACCCCATGTTGAGACAGACTTTTCCATTAATTAAAATATCCATGACTCTCCACATTAATCTCACTTCAAAACACAAGAAATGTGGATTCCCTTCAACAAATTACCATTTAGGTTTTTATGGTAAAGTGTACATTCAAATTAGAATAAATTAATTATAAATAAACACCACAGTCTGTATCACACCTTCCAACATACAGTACAGGGGAGAGATAATATTCAGGTAGTTGCACAGTGTAACTCCAGGCTAACAGAAGAAAGAGTTGTATCAAGCCTCAAAATAACCCGTCATCTACCATTCATACTCAGACGAAGAGAATGAACGTCCCCACACCAGCTGAATGCTTCATAACTACTTACACGTTGCAGTATTACCAAGTTGATGCACCCGCTAGTGTTTTGTCTGGCTCTACTTTTACACTTTCATACAAAATCCTCCATATAACAAGTCTTTCCTATATCCTAATAACTCAGGTACAGTATTGTGACAGTTAACACTTTCTTCTTTCTACAACCCTGAGTGTAAAACAGCTGCCTCTCTCTACTATAGTCAAAATACTGCATCAATGCCAATATTTACATAACCAATACTAACATATCTCAGTATTTCTTCTTCTGCTGCCGTCTATGTTGCATTATGAGACAATGAATGGACAACATGTTTTGAAGAAGTCACCATGGTACAGTACTTCCTGCACACACAAGTACAGTACTGTATTACAAAGGCTGACACTAGAGACCCTCAGCACACTGGAGTCACATGTTCTCATTACTGTAAACCCTGTACAGTGTTGTATCACGTGGGCCATGACATAGAGGCTCCTGCTCTCAGACTTCAATGTATTATTAAGATGGTTGTTAACATAGTTCAAGGAGTGAGTATAATTTCAGGACAACTTAGGCATCTATGTTATGAATAAAGAGCATGCTAATAAAAAATAAAAAAATTGGTTTCATTAAAAGCGAGGCAGAATGTTTTGAAGCATAATACAAACAAAGATGTACGCAACGTCTAAATGAAAACTATAATAAAACTCTTATATTTGAATTAGAAAAATTAAATAAAGAACATCATGTTTCAAGTTGCCTATTTAAGGCTGATCTAAATACAGAAACTTAACAGAATGACAGTGACAAAGATGAGAGAATGATAATGACGCTCATACTGAGACCTGGATGGTGATAATACCTCTTCACAGTCTTTGAAAACTTATGAGCTAATAATAAATGGCTAGCAGTAAGAACCCAGGGACCATCTACTCTTAACCTGACGACAAGAGCACTTAAATTTAAAAAAAACTCCTCCAATAAATATCATCCAGTTAATATTCAGCATTCTTTGCAGCTGTTTTACATACAGTACACTTGTTGGATCCTTAATAACCTTACTCTTGCATGTTTTCCATATAGTACTGTACAGTATTACTTTTTAAAGAGGAATTCCAATCATAAGATGCACATGGACTCATTAAACAAACAGACCGGTAAGAAATATTATTATGACTTTTTAGCTAATGATTATTACTTCACTCTTGCAAGCACTCTCTCTCTCTCCCCCTCTCTCTAATGTGAGGTGATTGGAATTCAAGAGCAACATAGACTTTACCTTCATTAAGTTATTTTTCTTTCTAACTTCACTTTTCTGGAGTCAAATTTCATCTGAATCATTATTAATATCCTTCAGTTTATACTAATATACTGTACCATCAGACATGAAAAAAGATTCTCTTATCTTTTTTCCGATTACCAAAAACTTCTACCATAATTATTTAACTGATATCCAATCTTGTACAGTAAACATGAAAGTGGAAAAATTATATCATCATCAACGTTTTACAGCACAGCCATTTTCCATGCCTGCATGGGTTAGCCAAGATTACCTGATGGCAAGTGTTGGGTAAAACTAGAATGGGATGCCACCCCCCCCCCCTCTGCTCATGACCACATATCCAGGGCACCAGCCCAGAGACCAGGGAATGCACAGCTCTGGTGACCAGCTGCCATCAGGCCTGTTGAAGCAAAGTTTTGTGGCTGGATGCCCATCCTATTGCCAACCCACAGGGAGGAAACAGCTGGTAAGGCAGTCACAACTCCCTGAGGTAATCAAAGACTACCCGCCTTGCAGTTATCATTGTGGACCCTTGAGGGAGTGTCTGTTTACTACCACCACAACATGGAGGTGTATCACAGTGAATCTCCAAAGATGACTTGTGTGGAGATAAATATTCCTATAATTTACTCTGTAAACATCAGGGTAGGTAATCGATTTTGAGAATAATAAATTTCCATGAAAATATATCATGAAGCCCATACAGTTTGTGCTCTCATTAAAAATACTTTGGAAAAGCAAAATGTTATATTTGATTAAGGAACTACAAAGACAATCAAACCACCACAAAAAAGCAATGCAAGCAAGTCATGCATGCTGGTTAAATAAGTAAAATATTTATAAACATAAATAAAACAGGCAGAGGCAATTTAATAAAATATGAGCTGCTTAAGTACTATTGTAAAACATATCTATAAGTAACATATCATGCAAAAATCAACTATTTACCATCACCAATATATATATATATATATATATATATATATATATATATATATATATATATATATATATATATATATATATATATATATATATATATATATATATATATATATATATATATATATATATATATATATATATATATATATATATATATATATATATATATATATATATATATATATATATATATATATATATATATATATATATATATATATAGGTAAAAAATATTAGGAATGAAACACATATACAGTATATACATCTTTACACTTATATACAAATTAAACAAAAGAAAAAAAAATGAAAATATTTTATAAAATATTAAAAGAGTAAAATTTGAGCATGAGCATGTAAGAGAAATGGGCCTACCTCCTCATTGGCGTCCAACAAACTACGAATAATAACAATGAAGGACGGGAGTAATACGCGCCGACAGTCTGGGATCTTGAAGAGTTCACTGTGAATTATTTCGTTCATTGTCATCAACTTCTGCTTTGGGATCCGTCTTGGTTCTAGGTTGTCAATCATCTTCACCAAGATTTCGCTGTCAAATTAGATTTTGTTAAGACTCATAAGCAGCTCACAAAGATACAGAATATCATCAGTTTGGGGGTTATTATAGCTAGCATTCTCTCTCAATTGATTTGTAAAGGAAAAGAAAAATGTAGTGTAAAATATGATAAAAAAGTTTGCCTCTGCTGCCACAGCCACAAATCTAGATAGGCTTTAACCATAACATAGATGTGAGGGTTAGTGGATTACAGTAGAGTAGGGTCTTATATACATCAGGGTTACGCACTGATCGCCTTGTGTAAGACTGAATTTTGCATATACTGTACAGGCAGTCCCTGGGTTGCGTACGTCCGACTTACGAACATCCGCTGATATGAATGAGGTCCCATTAAGCTGCTTTAAATTTACAGTACTTTATATACTTGATGGCTTTTTTTTTACTTTCATTTACTATATTTTGTCATTCTATTTCTTCTTTTCTCTTAAATTATGTGATTTTAGATATACAGTGGTCCCTCGGTTAACGAACACAATTCGTTCCAGAGTCGTTCGTTAACCGAATCTATTATTTCAATGGGATATTGGGTAATTGGTTCCAATTCACAGAAAAAGTACATACAAAGTACTGTATACCAGTAATAGAATTAACAAAACATTAAATATAAACTAAATACAGTACTGCACTGTACAGTGTACTGTACAATAATAAATAAAAAACAATAGAATACTCTATTTTAACTTACTTTGAGGTGTATATGTCGCATTACCGGCAGCTTTATTTACATATCAAACAGCTGATTGTAGAGGCAGTCGACGAATGACGCCATATTCTTTACAGAGTGCATTGGTTCTAATGCCTTCTTCATGTTTCATAATAATTTCTGCATTGTATATTATCAATATGTTAACTAAATTTCAGAATGACCAATAATTTTAATGTAAAAATGCACAAATATTCAAGAGACCAACAAAATCGATGTTCACTCCACTGTAAACAAAGTTAAACTGAGCAGTGTAGTTGGGTGATTTAATCAGCTGATGGGCACACAAAAACTGTTCCCTGTACTGTCTATATTATCAATATGTTAACTAAATTTCAGAATGACCAATAATTTTAATAAAAAAAAATGCAGAAATATTCAAGAGACCAACTTTGTTGATATTTACTTCACTGGAAACGAATGTAAACATAAAACCAATTACTGTATTGGTGGACTAGCCGATCAGCTGATGCGCACAACAAAACGTGTTTGTCGTAAGGATTTCGTTAATCGAACTGAAAATCCTTATGGGAGCTAATTCGTTAGCCAAAATTCTGTTAATCGAACCGTCCGTTAACCAAGGGACCACTGTATAGTATAAGGACTAAGGCTATGATATAGTGAGATTTTAAACATTGTTATGTAAGTACGGTATACACATAGCACGTGTTTTGGCTTACGTACATTTTCAACTTAAGAACATCACAGGAACGGAACTTGTTCGTAACCTGGGGCTGCCTGTATTCAGGTCATCCCTATATACTACAGTCTCACCTCGACTAACGAGATTATTTTTCTAGTCATAATATATTTAGGCAGCTCCTTCCAGCTACACCATCCAAATGGATAATTAAATAGATACTATAAGTGTTTAAATAGTGACAAAATGTATTTTTATAAAGTTATGATATGTTAAATAAGAAGAAAGCTGGGTGGGTAGATTTGATTCACAAGCAAAAGATGCTGTAGCTAGTGAGAGATGCTGGGTGGGTTGGCCCGCGCAAGAGTAAGTCCCACGCGTAAGGGCAGATCAGGGATTCAACCACATATAAGCGGGGTTACATACTCTGGATATGCATTCTTTGAGACCCTACTGTACTCTGCTCTCTACCTGTAGAAGCAAACTACATAGTGACTGCTCACAAGTCATTGGTTTTATTTTAACAGTGCTATATTCACCTCATTCACTGTGGCCCAACACTCCTCCCCTGTGCAGCACACTTTTAAAAGCAGACAATTGTTTCTACTACTTTAAAAGTGTCATCAAGCAGAATACTCTTTCCAAAAGATAGCAGATGCAACATTCATTGTCATATAATCTTCTTTACATCCTGTGAGAAGCAGCTAAGATGGCTGTAACATCATGCTGACCAGCAGTAATCAGCCTGTCTACAACCCATTGTGAGGATTACTGATTCTTGATGGCATACAGTGACTATTCCTTTACACACACATGCATGTTTACACACACACACACACATGTGAACACATCTACACACACACAACACACATATCCATGCATGTGTGCATATTTATATACAATTACATACAGAGCGGAAATTTATCAAAATACACTCACACACATTTAGATTACCTCATAATGATAGGATCAAAGTTAGTTATGATGTCAGGGATGGTGGTGGTGATGTACTTGAGGCAGTGAGCCTGGACAGTGAGGGTGGTGTCCACAGTGTGCTTCATCATAAGAGCCATTTCCTCCAACAGTTGCTGTAAACTCTTTTCAAATTCTTCCTGTCCACGCCCATATAACCTGCCACACAGATAAATACTCATAATTAGTTAATACAACAAAACTGTAAAATCATTAAGATAACTAAAGTAATATTTTGGGTGGGGACAACAGTCATGTCTTGATCACACTAGACTGTTACTTCCACAGAATGGTCAACTGGCCATCTTCTGTACAAACACAAGTTAATACAGTATTAGAAACCATAATCCATAACACAGAGAGTATAATAAAGTATGGTGAGGATATCACAAGTATATTTCTTCAGAGGGTTTAATGTTAACATTTTTAACATTATAGCACATTTCTAATCAACTTTTAGATATGGAATAAATTTTCAAATATTTTAATGTTAGAGAATATATATTATTGGCAAACATAATACTGTATATGTGGCTGAACTTCTGCACTCATTTATTTAAAGATACACACTTACAGTACACCATATGTTAGTGCAAGTGAGACATCCCCGTCATCAGGGCTTAGACCCAGGACCTGCCAGGATACAAACCCCATCCATGCTCAAGTCATATCTACCGGTAGCCATTTTCTATTTCTACTTTTATTAAGTTAGCTATGAGGGTTGGTTTATTATTAATATCAGTTTGGCAATTATTGTTATGAGTGTTATGGCACACCGTCGGAATCAAACGTGCTGGGCAGTAGAAGGTGTATTATTATCTATTGTAATTACTTGGAAAACAAATTTATAAAGCAACCGAGCATGGTAACAAATTAAACTTGAACAATACTTTGATAATCATATTTCAGACACAAGATATATTTTATTGGTAAAGTTCCTGTTGTAATCAAGGAATGTTTAACACAGGTAAAACCCACTGAAGCTACTAAGGGTGGGTCATTTATACAGTATTTCAATGGAATTGTAAATGAGATAAGTATTGTACATAACACTATGAATCAGCATCCCAATCTGGGCATCAAGTCCAAAACACTTACTCAACAAAGAGCTGTCTGGAGCGTGTGATGAACTTGAAGACATACTGAAGGCACTTCATGGCTTTCTTCAAAGTCTCTTGTCGTTTTGTATTCTGTCCCTCTCTAACATAGTCCTTTAGAACATGGATCAACTTGCTGTGTGAAGTAGAATAAGTACCATCAAATACTGAATCATAATATATATTTACTATTAGTATGTAGTAGACTACTAAACTATGTGTAGATGACCAACATAATGGCAGGAAGGATTTTGTCCACATTAGGTACAAGTTGGGGGTGACATATAGGCAGGGTCCATTCAAGTTAGTTGTAGATTAGACAGAAATATATGGAACTTTACCCACAATGGTCTCCTCAGTACAACCCAGACCTCACTGATTACAAAATTAGTTATGAGGGGATGGTACAAGTATTTTATGAACTCTTCCCCAGCTACTGATGTTCTAAGGATTTGCCTGCATTCCCAATCCCACATAAATAACAAGCAATAACAACACTTCCTTTAATATTCAATGTTGTATCACTCCTCCTATCATAACTTTTAACAGTTAATAGCATGAAATAGAGTAATCTTGGTTTAATGTATTCTGTAAAAGCAACCAAGCTAGAGAAGACAGAGCTACACTGAATTGTGAAGAGAAGAAAGAAGGATATAATCATAAAACTGACAAAAGTAATAACTTTTTCTCTGGTAATGAAACCACCGAGGTAAGAAAATAACTCACTTGTAGGCGAGGGTAGCGTGGAAGTTTTGCTGGATGTAAGAGTCTAGAACGGGCTGGAATGCTTCATGTTTGTTCTTGTCTGTTGCTATGGTGATGACATATATCTGTGGGGAAAAGACAGCATCTAAATTAAATGCATTCTGGGAGTGTAATACCAAAGGAAACACAAGCGGATGTTGGGAATTTTGCTCCTGACAAGTGTTTTGCCCTGACAGTTTTCCTCATCTGCTTGTGTTTCTTCTGCTACCACACTCCTATCTGTCCAAAGGAGTTATAATCATACTGTGTATTGCTTCTTCCTTCACCCCATAAACAGCACAGTACATATCCCACTTCTTCACTGACACAGTACCGATAAAATTTTCTGGTATATTCTACAAAATTATTAAAAATCTACAAAATAGTTTAATGCAATGAATCGTAATATATTTTTGCTTTGTCAATGGAAAATATTACCACTTATTCTCTTTTTATATAAATCTCCAATACCTTGTTCTCTCCAGGACTTAAGAGACGGCGGTACAACCCCCCCCCCTCCCCAAACGTTTCAGCAACCATCACTTCCGATATCTAATACAGTATATATAGAGAACTCAATAATGCACTCACCAGCGCCTCGAACACGTAGTTGTCACTCTCATCATCTGTGGTGTTATTCATGAGGATTTCCAGGAGTACATCCAGTGTGTCCTGCAGGAAAACCATCAGTTCCTCGGGGGGGACCCGGCGAAGACCCTGAAGACAGGAGAGCAGTGTTTGCTTGTCCTGAGACCCACTCCAACCCCATTCCAGCAGCCTAAGGAGTTCAGCTGAAATTAAGAGGAATTATGTGTCATTAGTACAGCATCACTAAACACGAGATATATAAAGCAATGGCAGTCAGTGGATCATTCTGTGATGGTGATGCAAGAGGAAACATCAAGTTCAGGTCATTTATGCACCAGGTAGACACAATTAAGGACAAACTGTACAAAAGAAAACAAAAATCTGTAAATAAATTAAGTACTGTATTGAAATATCTACACATCAAAATTATTTAACTTTAATAATAAATATCTGGAGCAAAGTTGATCATGAAGGTAATAAAATTTTCATATCTTCATAATTTTATCTTTGGCTCCAAGAAGACTTTAAAAGAACAAAACTAATATGCATACTCTAATAGTCTCTTTGAGTTTGAGGAAGGACCAAGTAATATTATCAGTCTTAAGCCTCAGTTATGTATCAAGGGGGAATCATCTCATAGAGGCATTAAAGAGTCACACTGGCTTGATCTGTTTATGACCTGTAAGAGAAGCACTGGTACTCATCCTATTCAAACATCATGATGAATTATCACCGAGTTGTCTCCGATGTTGCTTGTATTTTTAGTTCAACAAAACCACACAGGATTAAGACTTACTTTCAAGATCATTCCCACAAACGCTCATAAACAGAGTGGACGACCCTTATACCCACTCACTAAGTCAAGGGTCTTGGAGAAAATACAGTGAATGTTTTTCTCTACAAACAATAGTTATAAGTAGAAAGTATGTCTTACCATTTTGTGTGAGTTTGGTTGAACAGAAAGTGGTGGATATAGTGAAGGAGTCCTTTAATGATGGAGCCACCCCATGATTCCACGACTTGACTATTTCCTCCCCATTAATTCGTCTCCAGGGAAGACTCAGGTAGTTACTGTCTCCATCATTCCATTTCTTTCCATCGATCTGGAAACAAAAGCAACGTTATAACACCAATGACGTCTCGGTTAAGAATCCTCCAGCAAATCTTACACTCTCTAAATAATCAAAATAAAGTTCATTAAAGTGAATAATATAACAACAACATAAATTAAGAAGACAGGAACGATGATGGAGAACAATATAAATGAGTAATTAAAAAAAAATGATGACCAAAATTAATATAATGGTAAAAAAATAAATGAAAGTGATAGAAAATATTAGACCATCATCACAGACCAACTGGCCATGGACCATCACCTCACATTATTCAGATACAGTATTACTATAGACCTCAAGAGTCTGAAATGTGAGAGGCTCGTCTTAGAGAGACTGATAGTTTGAGTTAAACACATATGGCCTTCTGATCGTCTTAAAGAGAATTTATGGATTTATTAATGGTGTCAAATTATATACAAAGAATTAAAAATCATTTATTTATTTTTTCATCCATACTGTACAAGTCTTTGGTACAAGGTTGGCTGGACAGTGCTGACTGACAAAGGCTTAGTATTCAGCAGACATTGGGTGTGAGTGTGTTTGTGGGTGTGTATGTGTGTTTTGTGTGTGGAAGCAAAACTTGACTCAGCCAAGGAAGAAAACCCTAACCTAAAACAAGGCCTTAAATGTTTGTTTTTTAAGAATCTCCAGTTTTGAGGGTCAGTACCTGTAGTTCATTTATCTCTTATATATATGTAACACAATCAAAGTCTGCTTCAGAGAGGCTGTAAAAACAAGACAAAGTGACAGAGACAAGAACGGGTGAATAATAATAAGTAATTAAGGCAAGAGTAAAAACACAGGACAGGGGAAACAAAAAACCAAGAGCAAAATAAGTGTAGAGACTAAAATGATGATGAAAATATCCAAAGAAAGACTTCCACCATCATATACAAATATATGCAAAATTAAAAACATAAGATACATAAACCAAATAAATAAGAGAAGATTTACCTTGTACACAATCAATTCATGCTCTGTGTTCAGTAAAGTTGTCCCATTACTTTGCATCAGCTTCACAAAGGACATAGAGAAAGGCTTTTCATTTTTGTCCTTCACATCATTTGTAGATCTAAAGGAAGAGAAGCAAACATGTTTCACTACCATACAACATCACACTTTTCATGCCCTTTGACTCCATTCCATCCTTCCACTTCTTAAATTTTTCCACTGCTTCTTCAATGTTGTCAACACTAAGTTATAAGCATAAAACAATTTCCAGGACAGACCAGTCCTAATGTCCCATGATACTGCCTCTAGTACCTTGACAAACAGATAGGGGCTCAATGAATCTCTTACTTTAACCTCAAATTCCTCACTTTCCTTGCCATTAATTCTCACAGCAGTTTTTGAGCCATCTTATAATGCCATAACCACTCAAACAAGACATTCCTTGACCCCTAATTTTCTCACTGCCCACTTTATTACTTCACGTGGTTCCCTGCTAAATGCCTTCACCAAATAAAAAAAAAAATAAAAGATAAAAAATAAACATCGTATTTGTAGTTAGTTACCTGTGTCTGAAGGTGAACTTAATATGTGCCTTTTTGAACTCTTCAATAGGAAGTGTAATCTTGAAAGTTTCTGCCCATCTTGGCTTTCCCTCATGATGGTAAGTAACAGAATGGTACTCATCAAGTGGTCCTTGGCCGCACCCTTGATGTATCACACCCTGGGCAGTGCAATAATGTAAGATTACTAAGATATATATTAAAATTGTTTCTTGAAAGTGGAATACATCTATTATGACAGCTAGAGAATCCAAATAAACATGATTCAAGAAAATGCCTATGTTTGTACAGTAATTCAAGTCACCTTACATCACAGTGGGGAAAAACAAAACAGACATTTAATTTACTGTAGCAACTTGTGTGATTGTTCCACTGTACTTAAGTTTATAAATCAAGGTTTATAGATGCAATTACATTTCCTGAACATTTTTTTTTTACTTTTACAAGGTCGTTCCCACTATGATGCAAGGTAGTTAAAATCAACAACTACTCCCATATTCACTGTGCTATCTTTTCATGAACTTGAAATACCACAGAAGAAATATACAACACAATCCTAAAATTACAAGAAAATAAGGCGACTGATGAGGTGTCCAGTCCCCATTATGTACATAGATATATCCCATGATGGTGAGATTGGGAAGGAAGAGCACTAACAAGCTAACTCTGACATTATGGGGTTTTCTGTACTGATGCTACTGACTCCACCAGAAAACAGCCCTGAGTTATGGGATTTTTTTTTTCTGTCTTGTAAGTTGTCTCTCTCTTGAGGAAGGCATCAGGTACAAAGTCAAAATATATGGTAATTATTTCATTACTTGGATATATTTATATAAAATGCTTGATGCATACTGTTTACCTTAAAACTTACTGAACTGTTCTTTTACTTACTGGTATAACTTCTCCTCTCTCATTGCAAATTCTGACAGTAACTTCAACATTGCGGTCACAGGTCTTGGCTCCTCTTGAGAATTCCCCAGATAACAGAGTGACATACAGGTCATTGCGCACATCTCCAGGCATGATCACGTCGGAGAGACCCAAGCGAAGAGCTACAGGAACGTCCCGAAGTGCAACATAGTGTGGATTGTCCTCTTGAAGCTGACAAAGTGAGATTATTGTAAAGGCAGGCATGTATAAGTGCTCTAAAATAATGAGTAACCAATAACTGGCCTCTGGCTATACTATGGCACCTTTGGTAAAATATTTCCATCAACCTCAACTATTCAGGCCAGGAAAGGCAAGCACTCAGCTGAAAAAATGCAGCCAGAAATTAAAAACCTGTGGAAATTTTGAAAACTGAATTGAAGTATCAGAAAACAGCAACAACACTCAAAACTAAAAAAATTAAAATTCTCAAGAACTATGTATATTAAATGCTCTCAAGAGAATACATGATCAACGTCAGTGTGAGAAGGTTTAGGATGTGAATGTGAAAAGAATGTCTATATACATGCTGAACTGTTACCCTGCACTGTCTATATATAAGATGCATAAATATTAAAAGGTATGATTTTGCCAAATAAACATCTAACTACCTCTCACCACAACCACATTCTTCATCATACTTTCAATCAACATTCACCGATAATACCTGTTTTATATCTCCGTTAATTAGTTGAAACGTAAACCAGATCCCCTGAAATCCCGTCTTGTTGTCTCGCACCACATCACGCGACAGTAGTTTCTTCATATCCAGTGTCTCCTTCTCACCACACCTGCAGTAGAGACACGTATAGTTAATTTCTACGGGATTAACTTTTGAAAGAGTTCCCCCCTAAAAAAATAAAAGACTGGAGCTTGGAGGTACATATACGATTACATCAGTACCTCCATACATACTGTACATACATACACGGAAAAGAAGGTGAGGTATGGTCAGCCATCACCATCACCACTCCACAACACTCCCACACCATCACCACTCGACACCACAACACCTCCCACACCATCACCTCATCACACCACAACACTTGTCACACTATTACCACATTCCTATCATCTTTCCACACCCTACCACCACCAAGAGGCTAGCTTAAGTGATGTAGAGTACAGTAATGTGTTATGCTTCTGTACATCTGGCAGCATTATAATGCAGTACTTTAACTTAACGGTACAGTACAGTTTATAAAGTACTGTACTGTATTGTACTGTGTGAGTGGAATGAATATCATACAGCCGGTACAGTACCACACAGACCATCGCCGTCTGAGAGGAGTTATGTCACTCCTGATTACCATGAGCACTTAGATAATGTACTGAATGGCAGCCACAATGTTGCATTGCCATTGTAACTTGGAGAGTAAGATGCTTTAACCTGTGTTCAAATTATTTTCATTCAGGTTATGGGGGTTGACTGACAAAGATAAGATGCATTGTAAATGGTCAAAGAAAAATATTGGCTGCATTTATACTGTTCAAGAAAGGTCCAGGAATTACTGCATAAAGAATCTTTTATTATAAATACTCATATTAACAAAAGTATTCACAGCACTGAAGTATAACAATAAGGAAAAAAATTGCTAAGCAAAACTCACGGGTAGAATGTGGCAAAATGGTCTTCGTCCTGTGTGCCATTTGCAGGCACCGTGATGCTTCTTTGTTTCGTGATCAGCGGTGTAATATCCATCATTAAAACACCAAATGGTCTGAAATGTCAACATTACTTATACTGTGCATCAAGGTTTCATTCCTTTCTATAACTAAAGAAAGTTGGCTAAGGATAACAGCATCCAGTAAGAAAAATATATTCCATCCATCAAATCTGGTAATACACTGTACTACAATATATAAATGCTTGATGAGGAAGGCAATAAAGTCTTATATTAATTTTCAGTTTCTTTATACACCAAATCCCAAACTTTCATATAATGTTTCTCCCGCATTCAAGTAAACCTTAAACTGCACACTGACCTTCTCATCGAGTCATTAGTATAGATGGACTTCTTGCCCATCATTGACGAGACCCTGCGAGGGTCTACTTCTTTACTGGCCATTGACCCTAAGCGAACCACTGAACCAATCAGCCACACCTGATTGTCATCAAGGGTTGCTGTGCTCAAATCCTGCAATAAACAACAAACTTAGTCACAGTTTTACTAACACAACAATATCCTATCAATGACTTCCACATTTTTAATAGTGTGTGTGTGTGTGTGTGTGTGTGTGTGTGTGTGTGTGTGTGTGTGTGTGTGTGCATCTAAAGGTTTAATCATGTATATATAAATGTGGAAACAAGTGTGCCTGCATGCTGTGTCTTAATTCTTGAAAGTGCATAGGCATGTACAGGTACAAATTTACTTTTATACAATACTAATGAATAAATGTCTTTGCCCATGTAAACATAACATAGATGTAAGGATAAATGAAGATGTTTAAATGGACTTTAATCTTACTGCTTGCATGGAAACATTCTTGCCTTTAGTAATACAGAAGTTATCTTTGAAGCTAATATCTATACCATCTGTGTGAACTAATGTCTTCTTGCTATAATAAAGAGGAGACAGAATTAAGAACAAACACACTCTCTCCTTGCCTTTGCTGTCACTTACTATTGTAACTGACGTGTTCTGCTATGTTATTCCCTCCCACAACAAGGCACTAAATATCTTTTTTATTTACACCTGTCACCTCCCACAACCTACCTTTACTCACAAGCAGGATGTACATCACAGCCTAAATAAGTTCTCCATGCTTACAAGGTACGGTATATTTACTTACAGTATACAACAAGTTTCCTTACCGTAAACAGACACTTTAATTTGAGAAGTAAATCCGGATGGCTATTGTACCCTTCATCAGTCCAAGGGATGATGAAAGCTTCAGTAAGTGGCTTTTCTCTGCCTTCTCGAGGATCTCCAATGTACAACCCTAATGAAATCTCGGAGGGCTCAGGAACCTGGCAAGAAATACAAAATAATTAGCCGAAGTGTAAAAATATTGTATTGTCAAGTCCAAGGAAGTATTGTATTCATCTTCACATTCTATGCCTCCACTCCACCTTAAGACTTCTTATGTAATTCAACAACTTCTTTTAAGTTTTCCTATTCTTCTGTATATCCCCTACTGAACTCTGAAGCTCTTAAAATACAATGTCCACTGATTTAAATAAATTTTCATTCTGGTGTTTTATATCCACACCTCCAAAACATACACAAGTTGCCTCACTAAACACACCACACCACATCTATCTGTATTATTCCCCTAAGAACGTACCTGTCATACAAGATGGGTAATGCCTCATTAAATAATCTTATTACATTAATAAAGTTTAAACTTCATTGAACAAATTTACCATATCAATAGGAGTTATGCCTCACTGAACAGTTATAATATCAATGAGGGTTATCACTGGTCTTGGCAATGTGGTCAATGTCTCCACTATTTTTCCTGGATGTTCAGGAAAAATGCCTTCTCTGTCCCCTCTTAATCAGGCCTACTGAGGCATTAGCTTAATGTTTTGGGCCAAAAAGAAACACCATATTGTAAAACAAGACATATGTTGGGCAATAAATACAGTTTGCATAAACAACACCAACAAGTGATACCTGCCTGGGGACATTAAAGTATATGTTCTAACAGATTTACCTCCTGACGAGTCAATGATAAGCCCATCATAAATTCCCAATACAGTATATGAGTACTGTACTGTACAAATTAACATCTCAAGGATCTGTAAAACATAAACATGCAAACAGCACATTTGAAGGCCCAACACACTTTCCTCTTAATTTTGGGTTGCCTGAATTCTTACCTTAATAATAATATTTTTTATTGCTACTAAGGCTGTCCATGCCAAGTGCGATTTTCTGCGCACTGATGGGGCTCGTCCATGTGAGGATTCATGCTGTAAAAATATATATACTGTACTATATACTGGAAGTGGATAAAAATAATATTACTTCAGACATACAGAACAATACAGTACTTTTCAAATTCTTCTAAAGGAAGTTTTGAAGTTTAACATAAAAATATACAGTACGGTATTATAAATACAATAAGAGTAAGGGTCCTTGGAAAACTGCATTGTCATCCCATACTTTGGCTTTACCTGAGCCATACATAATCTGGATTAGTACTGTATACTGTACTGTACTGTATTACACTTGTATATACTGATCATTTGGATTAAAAAATACAAATCATTTACTTTATAGGGGCCATAATGACCATTGTAAAGAACGGGAAAATAGTATTAACATTTTAGGTCAAGATGTGTGGCCCCTATACCAAACTTATACAACTTGAGGGTAAGAAATACAACATTCTTTACCTTGCGTAGTTGTGCAGCAGCTTCATCATGGTGTCGGAACAGCTTGACAGCTGAGGTAATATCAGGATTGAGAATGTTTCCATTTTCATCCCGTACAACTAAATCAAGCCCCAACTTACTGCAATGCATAAAGCCATTAACCTACTGAAGACTGAGGTTATCACAACTCATGTTCAGTACAGTACAGTATTGGCAGGGTTTAAAAAAAATTCAACTGTACTTCAAATAATTGATATTAGATGATACTGAAGGAAATCTAGACATCCAATGCTTTACAAATCCTGTCAATGTTGTAATCACTACACCAGTGGTGCATGTATAGTATACACACTATACAAGAATCCGTTTTTTAAGTTGTCTGTGTTACACAAGTTTCAATGAAAACAGAAAGGCCAAGAAACAATATACATACTGTACATGTACTGCAGTTCATTCTTTGTTGTACAGGTATTAATTTTTGTCACTGAACATTATAAAATGACATTCAGTACAGTACTATGTACAAGCAGACCCTGATTTACAAGGATTTGATTTGCAAAAATTTGCAGTTATGAAAAAAATAAATTGTCCCACACTTTGACTTATAATTGAAAACTCTGAAATTACGAGAAAAAAAATTAATTAGTAATAATGAAAATATGCTGAAATAATTAGGTTTTCTTTAGTACCAGTAGGAGTGTACTGCACACCACAGTACACTTAACTCCTTTTACTCACTGGCCAGCTGGTGAATCAGCAAAGTCAGCTGACCCAGAAAAGTTTCAACCAACCAGAAAAATCTTGTAAACCTTTTTCTACGATACTACACTGCAGTATGGACAGGTAGTATTGATCCCAATTGTTAGCAGTTTAGCAGTTAATCGACCAATAGAGAACACACCCTGATAGTGTACAAGGGCACTCAGTTTACTGCAGTGTGTGCATAAGGAAGAAACACAGGCTTTAACTCTGGGTGGGAATCAAACCAATACAGTAGTTTAGCATACAAATATTCTACCTAAATTCTCACTCTTCCAATTAAAATCCAAAAACTCTGAAATTATAATTTATACATTGTTAAAAATAACTTACGCATTCACTCTGTCAATTCCAAGTGTGATGCGATGCTTAAGCTGCTTGAGTTCATCTCCAGGCAACTGACCACACAAGATCTTACTACGATGTACTATGAGCTCCGTCATGGTGTCTCGTAACAGTGTGAACTCTTTGCTCCTCTCCTGAAAAATTATAAGAACATAATTCAGGGATACATCAGTAAGCTCAAGAATTAGTTTTTTACAACATTTGGCTGTACCTGTACTGTATATTAATTCCGCGCTCTTCTGTAGATCACATTCACACTAACATTCTTCATTGCATGAGACTGTACTGTGCCTTCACACTAATGTTTGTCAGATCTCCACCATCCTATACTTCACCTTTATGCTACAACTTACTTTTATATTAATAAACTTAGGACAGTTAAGAGGTTAATACTGAAATAACAGACACTAAGTTAAGACATGGATGGGCCTCAGCAGGAAGATAAAACTAACAATATGTCAAGATATTCAAGTACACATGAGTTATTCAAATTGTCAACATATAATTGCCTAAAAGTTATTCTTACATACCACATAAAGCTTTCGTAATAGCACCCCCCATTCTCGTAGCACAGCTGTGACTTCTTGTACAATGGGTGGGAGGCGAGCTGTCACTACCTCCACTGGGCCAGATTTGTCCACAATACAGTCTCGTACCTGACCATCATCACAGGGGGGGACATTGTCTTAAAGTCGCATGCATTATAAAGTGCTTCATTTAATAACAATATACAAAAAATATATGTTGTGAGTTTTGCTTTATTCTTGACAGGTAAATATTACAGGTAACTAATGTATCTTTACCTGGCAGTCTATTTAAACATCAGGTAAGTACAGTATAACGTCTTCATCTCTCTTAATGACCATATGTATATGAATGAATTTATTCTCCTTTAACAAAAAAAAAATATTCCCATCACTTACAGTAACTTAAATCAGTTAGGATTTACCTGTATATATGACTTGGGGAACACCCCTCGGAGGGCCTTGTTGTCGAGTGTGTACCCAAAGAACCAGCCCCCAAGCTCCTCCAGAATTTGAACTGTGTTGCCAACATTGAGCTTGATGCAGGCCTCATTAATACCACTGAAGTTATAGATGGCTGAAAGAGAAGTTAATTATGTGATACCTGGCATTAGATATTACACAAGTTTCACAGTCAACATTTATGGTCTTAACAGTAAATCAGTTCTTCACACTATTTGTACATCTACCAATTTTGGAAGAGTTTAAAGAAAGTGTTGCCATTTTACTTCTAAGAATCTTTTAAAAGAAAAATGATTCTTGTTGGCTTATATAATGTAGCTAAATCAGGTGATGGAAATTTAAAATAAATGAGAACTAATGCAAATCATGTTTTATATGCTTTCACTAGTGGGTAAAGCAATAAATCTTTACTAAATCATTACGCTGTACAGACACCATGATATTTCCCAAATTAAAGTTCACTACAGTATATCATGCCAACCTTTTGTTAGCCATTTTTCCCAGTGACTACCAGGATATAAAGGGGGATACTGTACAGTCCGATGATGAAAAAAAAAAAGTGTCCCCCAAACATAAAAACACATTCACATAACATAGAACTTGACAGATTTTCACAATGGATGGTGCTAGGGTGTAAAACATTGCTGTCTGAGAGTCTACCTAGTTTATACAGTACTATAGAGGGGCAAGGGGTGATTTAAACAAAGTTTATAAGCACCTCAAAGGACATCACTCAGTCAACTGTTCATATCCGAAATAGCAGAAGCCCACCCCATTAGAGGTCACTGCCTTAATTAACTTAAAGAAGACACAAGTACAGAAAATTTTCAGAGCAAACTTCTTTGGAGTATGAGTTGTGAACTGTTGTAATAAAGTGGCAGTGTGTGTGACAGTACCGACTGAGACCATTTGAGGGCAGACTTGACTAATATTGGTACAGTTTAAACTTCATAACTACATGTTCAGTACTGTATTTACCAACAGAGCATAACAGACACAACCAACCGCCCAACTAGAAAACAGGCCAACCAGTGGTGAAGAAGATGATATGAAAAATGGAAAATATACGGTTAGATACAGAATGAAACAAAACCCTCGTCACAAAAACAGTGAACATGGTAATGTTTTGTGTTGACACAGATTAGTGTTCAAGATGAAAAATATGAATAATAATATTATGCATATTGTACATTCTCGCCATTTCATGGGATTTTCATGAGGTAAAGAAGCATCTATCAGTAATCTTGTATTTAACGGATGCAAAACCAAGAACACCATTGTTGATATTCAGCGAGACTGGTAACTTTCCAAAGAATCAGATACTGGTACAGTACCTTATATAATTATCATTCATAAAATGAGCCAAAATAACCGACATAACCAAACCTTCCTAAACTTGAGCTTTATCTAAACATTGTTACATTATATAGGTTAGGTTAGCTAATTATGTTTTTTTATGAATGATAAATTATGTATATAAACTGTAGCAGTATCTGATACTTCGGAAAATTCCCAGCATCATTTTTACAGTTCCTGGTTAATGTGTAATACTGATGCAGAGCATTACCTACAGTAGGTTGGTTTAATGTGTGTTGTCTGCTACCATTTATGGTTAAGGCCGATGCCTCTTTCAAGGTCTGTAAGAGTAAATGATGGCGACTCTTGGCAAGGACACTTTATACCTGTTTTCAATAGTTTATAACAATTATTTCAGGTAATGTATGAGAACATCACTACCACCAGAAGGAGTTGTTTGATTTCATTAATTTTTTCCACAAATGTTCTTTTCATAGTACAGTAAGTATTTAAAAAAAAGGAAACATTTACTAGAACCTAAAGGAACCAAGCAAAGAAATCTACCTTACCTTGCCTAATTTCCTAGCCAGGGGGCTGATCCCCTGCAGTACTGAACAAATTACTTATTTTAATATCTGGTACCAATGAAAGCAACTTTGTTGAAGCATTATTGTGTAATTTTACATTTTTTTGGACGTAATAGTATGCTTAGACCAAGCAGGTCGGTTCTAAACAAACAGATGACACGCAGAATTTTTGTAGTAGTTTACGGTTAATAATTCATTTCTTCACGTACAAAGCATGTAGAGTCATCTTTTCAGTGTCAAATGATCAGTTTTTCACAGCATTTTACTCCGCAAATTCCTTCATACCCTGCCCACTACAGGTAATTATCATCGTAGATAGGCAAAAAATAAATAAATATATAAAAAATATTTATTAAAATAAAAAATTGTCACCTCTTTTAAATACTTACTATAATAATATGAACATCTGTGGAAATATTAACAAAATCGAACAACTTCTGGTGGTAGTTGTTCTTACAAATTACCTTATTTTACCTTCATTCCATTAAATTAGATGATAAACATAACTTGGAAGAGACAACTACACAGAACCAGGTGGCGTCTGTCTCCTGAACCTTTACCAACCTAAACTGAAGCTATGTAGTACAGTATATGTAAGTGTTAACTGCATTCATTAAAAAATTACAGAATAATATATCTAATGACCTCTTAATGACCTCCTCTGGGTAAAAACAGTATCTTGGGTTGTTAAGAGTGGGGGACGAGTAGTAGTAGTGTATTACGTCAGTAGTTTTTGTAACTAGAACGACGCCCTTTCCTCTCCCTTTCTACCTCTGATCTCTTCTAATATAATATCTATCTACTTACCAACGCCATACTTCTCCCTGTCTCTGGCCGGTGTCCAACTCATCATAGAACCGCGTACATTATCTAGCTAAAGTTACTAGTTTCCGGACCACTAGCTCTGCATCCTGTGTATTTGTAAACTAACTGACCCAAGATAAACAATAGATACATTGAGATCAACTTTAAAAAGGATCGAGAAGTTAAAACAAGTGAGTATCTATAACGTTGAATATATTCTTAATGCCTCTTGGTGTAATAAACCCTTTATAATAAGCATTCGAAATCTCTCAAAAGTTGTTATCACTCTAGTGCTCATACATATAGGCGGGTCAGCTGGATGTCTAATGTTGCCGGAAATAGAAAAACTTTGCGAAAAAAATTTGATAATAATATTCTCTAGAGCGTAGTAAACATGGAAAACAATCTTACTCGTGGAAAACATAAATAATTTAACCAAAAGTACAAAACAAGTGTTATATTCAAGTCTTTTCTCACTGTTAATGCAGGAGAGGAAGTTAGGATATAGTTGCTTCTGTGAGCGTCATTACTTTCTTTTCACCTGACACTTGATACTATTTTTTTATTTTGTCTTTTCCTATGTGAATAAAATTCTTCAATAACTATCATAAAAGTCGCTTATTCCCTTAAATATTAATTCGGATGCAAAATATATGGATGATTTTATGATACGAAGCGGATTTTGTACAGGGGCGTAACCAGCTAGAGGGGGGGAAGGGTGTGTTAGAGGAGGGGGTTGGGTCTTCTTCCCTCCCCAGGAACCATATTTCGGAGAGAAAGGGCGCATAATAAATAATTACACCGTTATATATGTACAAACCTTGCCTTAACCGGCTAGGCACTACTGTAGAGGATGTGAACATAATTTTATGGTACAGTCACCCACAAAAGTCCTGTCGCCTCTCCTCTTGGACCACGAACCCTGAGATTCACTCGCGAAACCATTTATGGACAGAATAATTATCACTGTCTGCTACTTCGGGTTCACGATTCTGACCGGAACAGGTCACAACCAGTTTCTCTATCAAATAATTCGAAGCTGAAACAAAGAAATACACAGAAGATGACGCTACAGCAAGAGAAGAGAGTTTCTATACTGTATTATTAACTAAATACAGTAATGTTGCACTGCGGTAGTGACCCGTGAACCTCAGATATTCCAAGCGCAATGTGTGTTGAATGTTACCAAAAAAAACTTTCAATAATAATCCTGTAGACATACTATTACTGATGAGAGACCAAGCGTCCCTTAACAAAGGACCTTCCTCGAAATAAGCACCTGACAGCTCTATCGGCTACCCTAATCTAGTTGCCTTACTGTTTACCACTGTTGTTTACTTGTACTGTCTCGGCACACAGGAAACTATTATTATTATTATTATCGCCGCTGGCTTCAACTACAATGCTGGCGTTGCCTTACCCGAACAAACATTCAATATATCAGCCTAGGACCACGTGCGCCCCCCCACCCCCCCACGCAACCTGTACAAATAAGATGCCCTGATTCTGCTGAGTGTATGGTTTAAAGTGTGGTGTGGCCGCCTGGCCTCCATGAGGCAGATCGCCTTCTCAAGTGATGCTGTGAGGACCATGCAGCCAACAGCCCTCTGTGGTAAACACCGACTCCTATTCCTGGCCGAGTTTTGTGCTGGAACAATTTACACAGTACTATTGTCCCTTGGAACACCATACTGGTTCGCATTGACCCGCACTTGTAAGTACAGCCAAAGTGATGACATACCCCTCAGTACTGAAATATTGCGGACTAATTATGCCTACTCGTTTCTGCCTTATCTGGAGAAATAAGATAATGCGGAATGAAATGTAACTAAGATTAATAGAGTTATGAACTTTGTATTATGTCACTATGCTTAATAATCAATTGTAATTAAGATGAAATCGTCTGAGACTAACTATGTATCAGATAGATCACCATGTAATACTAATGAACGCCTTGTTCGCTGCAGGTTTTGATCACATCAATAAATATTGAATGCGTCAAAAGGCGAGTTTCAATCATTCCCTTCGACTTGCCCGTCACCTGAACGTCCTTAACCAAGTCGTTTACAATTATTATTATTATTGTCACCTTTTTTTAGTCTCTCAACATGACAGCAAAAGTTAACACTCAAATTATCATAAACAATTTGATTGCATATCTTTCACACTTTAACATTTGCATTTTTTTCACTTCATGAATAAATATTCCCCACTGTTAGTCTTCTGTTAACTCACTGTCTACTGTTAACTCGCTGTTTGTCTACCGTCTTTAGCACTTTGCCACATAAAAGAATCTCAAACACGATACAATTTGCAAAGCTTGGTAATGCAGTTGGTGACCAAATGGGAAAACCTGTGAGGATCATGTGCAGGTGTTGGAGTGTTGATTTATGTGATATGGTGTATTGAGGTTTGAGACCGGTGGATTAGATTGCTTCCTCCCCCAGCTTTATTAAACCTAACATAACCTTGTAGTGGACTCCATCCCCTACAAGGGACTACTGAGCCCCCGCACGCCTACCAGCCAATCAGCGTACAGCCAGCGGTGCCGATAGACCTACTCCCCAGTGCGGACGCACACGTAGCAACGCTAGGACCTGAGTGCCTGGCCTTCTCCTCTGTGATTGGCCCTCTCGATAGAGACTGTCTAATGACTGCTCCACCCTACAAACAGAGCTGGTAGCAATCTCAAAGGCCCTACAACACGCTGCAACACAACACAACAAGTCCATCATAATTCACACGGACTCGAAATCGGCCATGCAGGCGCTGCAACACAGTCAACCAAGAGACAACGTCCACATCATAACCTCGATCCTCGCACAGCTACAGGAATTCCAAAGACAAAACCGCCCAGTCGTCTTACACTGGATTCCCAGTCATGTAGGGATCGGAGGAAACGACGTGGCAGACGAAGCAGCCAAGGCAGCTACACGTTCTAGTAGCGTACACATCCAAGTTCCAGCAAGCGTGCAACAGATCAAGAATCACCTCAGAAAGACTAGCAAGCTCCACATCAAAAAGAGCTTCCTTCACGCATTCAACGCTGGTTCCCAATCAGCCAAGTGGTACCTGGCGGCTACAAAAGGGGAACCACCTTTCGCGGACAAGAAAACACCAAGACAAACCCAAGTTAGCCTTCATCGACTACGACTAGAGTACAAGTGCTCCTGGCAGATGATCGGAAATGACGTCATGGAATGCACCTACTGTCAGGAGCCAGCAGCCAACCCACTTGAACACTATCTCCTCGACTGCGAAGTCACACAAAGCCTCCGAAACAGAACTCAAATCTCCCAAGAAACACACACAACACCAGCGGCCACTCTAACCAGAAAGGCCCAAACAAACCACATTTACCACCTTCTCCGGGTCATCACACGATACCCACCACCCAGATAGCTTAGAAAGTATCCTCTCCCAGCAAGTGCGGACCCCAGTTCGGGGGGCGCGCCACTCCGAAACTGACCACGTCCAAGAGTGGGGGTTGGTGGTAAGCGCCCACTGATCGCGGGTCCGCTCACACTTGCAACCTGCAGTATCCTTCCAAATCTGCAAGTAGGACCACCTCCAATCCCAATCCGGTCTGGCCGCTCCAGGAGCTCCAGCCGGAACCACCAAACAGGCCGCCTATAGGCAAAGGCCCGTGTCGGACTACGGTCCGACAATCTCAACAACAACAACAACAAGCCTGGGAGACCATTCTACTCTGACCTGCAGGACCAGCAAGATCTCCCTCCAGCACCTCACCACCCAGCTCCCTCAGAGAGCTTCTCGCCCTACAGGAACTCTGAGCAAGCTACACCTCACCTAGTAACTCCTTAGCACTACTCTGTACAACAATATATATATACAGAACACGCATCGTGAGTTTCTATTCTACCTCATTCCTGAGTGTGAGATATCTACATGTACGTACGTTGTGTGGCCATACAAAGAGATAATAGACATCTAAAGATAATTAACTACTGGCCACAATACAGTACGCTACAACCTCACCTAATACAACGCTAACCTCACCTAATATAACCTAACCCCCAGGTAGCGTCAGGGTGTTTAATCTTCAGGTGTTATAAGCTGGGTGATTAATCATTGATACTGTACCAGGTATGATGTAATAATAATAACAATAATAATAATTAACGGTTTATTGAAAAAGTCGGCAGCCCGAAGGCTGAAAATATACATTGGACAAAAATAACGTATTACATACAAAGACATGGGGTGGGTGGGTCGCTTGACAAAAGCTTTCATTACTAAAAGAAGAAGGAACATGAATTGAACTTTGGGGCCAAGATAAATGTTGGGGGGGGGGGGCAAAACCAAACCTGTGTACAACTTGCAAGATGCAGTTTTTAGCATTATTACACCAATTTGATTGACAAGTGTTAAGTGACGTCTCTCATGACGCCAACCTAAAATAATCAGCATATGGCGGTATAATGGCAACGCTCTTATTCCACTAATCATGATTCATTGGAGTATTGACACACTTGAACATACATTATCTCTAAAACTGTATTATTGCTCACATAGTCACATAAAGGGCGGGTGTACCACATAACAAACATTGAAAAATATAGCAGTGTCTTTACAATGTATGTACAGTACATACATCAGCGAAAAAATGAATGATCACTACAGTCCATCAGTTATATTATTGCAAAATGTAGGCCTAAAGCATTCTCATGACATATTAATTATATATTCTTATGATATATAATATGTCATAAGAATGCTTTAGGCCTACATTTTGCAATAATATAACTGATGGACTGTACTGATTTACCTTATACTGTACAGCTCAGCTCAACTACAGCCACTTGAACTGAATGATTGAGATTGACTGATTGTAATATTACTCCTAGTTAAAAAATTACTCACATGTTCTCTCTAAACAGACCTCACTTAGCAAGTAGAAAAACCCACAGTGGCAGACGAAATATTTCTTTCTGGGTAGTTTCGGTGACAAATTCGACAATTACTGTCAGCCTGTCACCCTTCTCATTGGAAATACAGAGTGGTAATGTTCATCACCGACAAGGCAGTTTGTTTATATACACCGTGATGTGACCCCACCCCGCATATCTGCACCCTCCCAATTCCTGCCCTCCGGGCCTCATCTCACCTCACCCATGCCTGCATCTGGCGTGCGGCGCGCCCATTGCCTGAGTCACTTGACTCACTTCCTGGTTTTGGGAATGTTTTTGGAATTATAATTTTGAGAATAAAAGTGGGGGGGCCAACCCAGGGGCCAGCCCAAAATCTGGGGGGGGCAATGCCCCCCCCCCCCCCGTAGAATCGTCCCTGGTGGTGAGGTGTTCACGTGGTGTAGTAACTCGATATGTGTGTGTGTGTGTGTGAAAGCTAACAGTTTCTCCATAATAATCAAGTCATCACAACTGTACACCACCACCACCACCACACGCTGGCGGATCCACCCCGCTACCTCAACACACACACGTGCTGATTTTTAACACAGCACGGAAGCATTGTTGCCATTCAATTTTCAATTTCAATTGTTTATTCCTTGAGAGAGGAAGTGGGATCCTAGTGCTGTCACTAGGTTGCCATTAATGGGAGGAAGAGGTGGTGGTGGTGGTGATCACCTCCCTTTCATCAACCATACGGCGACAGTCTTTCTCCTTCTATCACAAACGTGCAGTAATATTCACCGTCTCCTAGCACTATAACTGCACGGGTTAGGTTAGGTTAGGTTAGGTGTTTAATCATCAGATAAAATAAACTGAGGTGCTTAATCCTCACGTGATCTTGTAAGAATGGGATAGAGACATTATTCTACCGTGTTTACAAAGTCCTTTAATGTTTGTGTTTCCCAGTCCAACATATCTCTTTTATTTTAAGTATTCTGTGGAAAGTGTAGATAACTGTATTCTTCATCGGACATGACGAAGAATGCAGTAGGTTACAGGAAGTAGTGGCGTACATGCGGATGTTGTTCAACCTGTAACTTCCGCTAAGTGACTAAAACACAAACATCAAGGGACTTTATAAACACTCTAAGGACCCGCTAGTCTACTTTATATTTTCGACTTGTGAATTACCCTTATTTGTTTAATTATATTTACGTTACTGCCGATGTTAATATGTACACGTCACTCGTAGGTGGCACCGAAGGCCAAATATATGAGTGGTTGTTTGCTTACGGTCTCCCATCTGGCGCCAAAACACACATGAAGGAAGTGGAGAAATAGTTATACATCTACCGCACAGTTTTCTTAATATATCCGTATTATAATATATCCCTATATATTCCTACTATCATAACAAGTACAACTAATACAAAAATGTAGTTCAATGGAAAGAAAAGGACATAGAATAACGTTGATTTGAAATTGTTTCCACATTTTCCAAGTCTTTTTCCTGCTATGGTGCAGAGTGGGGAGCCTACTGGTGCCAAGGACCTGTAGCATCTGGTGGTGGTGGTGATGGTGGTGGTGTGAGGTCGTTACAATACTCACCACAGCTGTACAGTGTCTGGTGCAACAACACATGTGAACAACAAGTGTGTCTTATGAGTGATATAGACAACATGGGCGATGCTCATGTAAGTACAGTTTGTGGACTTCCGTGTTTGTTTTTCTTTATAGATTGTGTATATATATAGAAAAGTTTTACGAATATTTGTGAAGTTGTCTACAGTTTGTGTGTACTTAGAGAAGTTTGTTACGATGGTTAGCTGTCTCCCCCCCAGGTGACTCGTCCACCACCCCGGCCTGGGAGCTTGGAGGAGAGGAAAGCTATGTTGGACAGTAAGATGACCAGCGACAAAACCCAGGATATTACCCAGGTGAGTACGATGACTTCACCCCTTGAGTACGATGACTTCACCCCTTGAGTACGATGATTTAACCCTGAGTACGATGATTTAACCCTGAGTACGATGATTTAACCTCTTGAGTACGATACATTCATCTATCCATACAACCATATGTGCATCCATCTATATGTCCATCTATCTATCCATCCATCCATATGTCCACCCACTCACCTATCCACCCATCCATCCATCCATATGTCCACCCACTCACCTATCCACCCATCCATCCATCCATATGTCCACCCACTTACCTATCCACCCATCCATCCATCCGTATGTCCACCCACTCACCCATTCACCCACCCATCCATCCATCCATATGTCCACCCACTCACCCATTCGCCCACCCATCCACCCATATGTCCACCCACTCACCTATCCACCCATCCATCCATCCATATGTCCACCCACTCACCTATCCACCCAACCATCCATCCATATGTCCACCCACTCACCTATCCACCCATCCATCCATCCATCACATTTCATCCTCTCTCACAGACGTCTCCACATTAACTGATTGATTTCTTCCCCACAGGATCAGCCATTTGCCCTCCGTCACAGCAGCCTGACAGAGAAGAAACAGCTATATGACCAAAAGGTGAAGGTACACAGTGCTAAGATGGGCGCCAATCCCTTCAGTGGCTCCTTTAAAAACACTCCTAAGACCACATTATCCCGCGACGACCCTAACTACGGCAAGTGAGTATGTGTCGACCCTAACTACGGTAAGTGAGTGTGTGTCGACCCAAACTACGGCAAGTGAGTGTGTGTGGAGCCTAACTACGGCAAGTATGTGTCGACCCTAACTAAGGCAAGTGAGTATGTGTCGAGCCTAACTACGGCAAGAGGGTGTGTGTGTGTCGAGCCTAACTACGGCAAGTATGTGTCGACCCTAACTAAGGCAAGTGAGTATGTGTCGAGCCTAACTACGGCAAGAGGGTGTGTGTGTGTCGAGCCTAACTACGACAAGTGAATGTGTGTCGACCCTAATTACGGCAAGAGGGTGTGTGTGTGCCTAACACGGCAGTGAGTATGTGTCGACCCTAACTACAAGTGAGTATGTGTCGAGCCCAACTACGGCAAGTGGGTGTGCGTGTTGACCCTAACTATGGCAAGTGGTATGTGTCGAGCCTAACTACGGCAAGTGGGTGTGTGTGTCGAGCCTAACTGGTGGCAAGTGAGTATGTCGAGCCTAACTACGGCAAGTGGGTGTGTGTCGAGCCTAACTACGGCAAGTGGGTATGTGTCGAGCCTAACTACGGCAAGTGAGTATGTGTCGAGCCTAACTACGGCAAGTGGGTGTGTGTGTCGAGCCTAACTACGGCAAGTGAGTATGTCGAGCCAACTACGTTAAGTGAGTATGTGTCGAGCCTAACTACGGCAAGTGGGTGTGTGTGTCGACCCTAACTACGGCAAGTGAGTATGTGTCGACCCTAACTACGGCAAGGGAGTGTGTGTGTGGAGCCTAACTACGGCAAGTGAGTATGTGTGTCGAGCCTAACTACGGTAAGTATGTGTTGAACCCTAACTACGGCAAGTGACTCAATCTTCATTAGTTTATCTGTGCGTTGTAAGGAGGTTTGTGGTGCTATGTATTATGAGTAAAGGTATGTGGTCACACGATTTAGCAGGTATGTGGCACTGTGCATCAGGTATGTGGCACTGTGCATCAGGTATGTGGCACTACAGTTATCGCGATCATCCAGCCTGGCAGTAATTCACGTTTCCATTACAGACCCGTGACAGGGAGCAAGTCAGAGAGGCGCGGGAAGAATGCTGCCAGACACATCAATGCCGAGGTGGTATTCCTCTGTGACATGATCTACCAGGAGGGGCACGCATATGAGGATGGTACCGCGGTCATTTCCTTCGGCGATCTATTCCAGGTAGGTTAGGTTAGGTGGTGGCACTGATGGTGGTGAAGAATGTGGTAAGAAGAGAGAGCGAGAGAGCGAGAGAGCGAGAGAGATTTATGAGCAGAGAATCAATGTTTCGATCTAGTTCGCGGTGGTATACCTCAGTTAGCCAGAGCAAAATGAATACAGTACCTTGCAGCTGCTTAGCCTTGGGGGGGGGGGGTGGATTTTTACTGGCCATAGACGATCATATAGACTATTATAATATAAATGAGTAGTTTCATATAACTACTAACTCATCCTTACCTAACCTAACCGAATATAAACTAGTCAGAAGGTAAAAAGGAGACAGAATACATCTCTATATAGCATACCATCTCTAACACATACTATGTAAGGCACTAGACTAGACAGTGGATGTAACAGTGCCATTATCACACAGATCTACACACGTATCTCCAACAAGGTGGTGGGAATGCTACTGAGAGCTCGCAAGTACGGCCTGGTGGAGTTTGAGGGCGAGATGCTGTTTCAGGTAAGGACAGATGTCACAGGGAAGATGACTTGCTGTTGTAACCTACGAGATTTTGACATTCTAACCTAACCTAACCTAACCTAACCTATCCTTATCTAAAACTAACCTAACTTAAACTAACTTAAACTAAACCTAACCTTTAACTAATTGAACTAACCTAACCTTTAACTAATTGAACTAACCTAACCTTTAACTAATTGAACTAACCTAACCTAAATTATGCCTAACCTTATCAACCTAACTACTTAAACTATCCTAATCTACAGTACTTAACCAAACCTAACCTAACTTTAAACATGACATAATTTTAGTTTAACTTCGACTCCTTCAAACACATATATACAAATTAATCATATAACTTTACTTAACCCGTTGAGCGCCAGCCAATATTAGACGTAATACACACCCCAGTGCAGGCCATTTTGTTTTTCCTAAACCATCTCAAATGGTCCAGGAAACATGAAAGTCACAAGAATTCACCGCGTCTGTGTGGTAACACTGCGTAGCGAATGGTTGTGGAGGTAGGGAGGGTCTCACGGCGCCATGGAGGTATACTATTATACCTCCAGGCACGGCGCCCATCACGAATCCAGGAAAAAAAGTCAGGTAAAAAGGCACGGAAAAAACCTAACCAAACTTAACCTAACCTACGTGCAATGCCATCTTATATATATTGTGTTGCCAATGTGTACAAGTCATGTGACTTTTTTCCCTGTGGACTTTATTTCCGTCCTCTCCCATCACTATGGCAATCGGCTGAGTCATGCTCCTCCCCCCACGCCACTGTGACAGTTCTCCACTCTCCTCACCGTCGTGTGTGTGTTTCTTTCGTTTTATTTATGGTTATTCCTCCCACATCAATCATTATTCAATTTGCATGTTAGAAAATGAATAAAACACCGCTAGTGTTGATAATTTTTTGACGTTTGCTTATCCAAGTCCCCATTGCATGGGGGACTTTAACTATGGCGACATCGACTGGAGAAACGAGTCAACCCCGAATGACTTGAATAATCCTGCTACTCTTTTTGTAGAAACTCTGAGAGATAATTTTCTGTTCCAACATGTGAGAGACCCGACACATTACAGAGGGGAGCAAACACCCAAGCCACTTGACCTCATCATAACAAACGAGGAGGGTATGGTGGCCAAACTGGAACACCTTGCCCCAGTTGGCACCAGTCACCATACAGTGTTGTCATTCAGATTTAACTGTTACCTAGTTCAAGATAAGGCCAGGCCAAGGTGCAAATATTACAAGGGAAATTACAATGGGATGAGGGAAGAGATGAGGGGTATCAACTGGCCTGACTTATTAAGGTACAAGAACGCAGACACTACGCTGAATATCATAACTAGTAAAATGACCCATTTGATCGATAAATATATACCCAAGACCAAACCCAGTGCTTCTAGGAATACGAGGGGATCCCTACACATGAACCATGCGGCGGTCGACAAAATTAAGAAGAAAACCCAGAAATTCAAGACGTGGGTTGGGTCAAACGATGAGCAAGACAGGAGGATGTATGCAAGAGCCAGAAACCAAGCAAAGATAGAGTGTAGGAGGGCTGAAAAGGAGTTCCAAAGGCTGGTTGCACGCGAGGTCAAGTCAAACCCAAAGGCGTTTTACCGCTATGCAAAGTCGAAATTGAAAACGCGAGTAGGAGTATCAGACCTGAGGCTTGAAGATGGTAGTTACGCAGATTCTGACCAGGATAAAGCTGAGGCATTGAACAGCTTCTTTTCCTCAGTGTTCACAAGAGAGGATGCAACTAACCTTCCTGCGTTTGAGGACAGACGGTTCGACACAGCACTGACCCACATTGTGTTCACAGAAGAGGGTATTAGAAATAAACTGTCCAGGCTAAAGGTCCATAAGAGTCCTGGACCTGACATGGTGCATCCTAGAGTGCTAAGGGAGCTGTGCAACGAGCTTGCAGAGCCCCTGAAGATTCTGTTTTGTAAATGCCTGGATGAACAAATGGTCCCCAGTGAATGGAAAGTGGCTTATGTGAGTCCTATCTTCAAGAAGGGCGATAGGCACTCCACGAACAACTATAGACCGGTGAGCCTGACCAGCATAATATGTAAAGTACTTGAGAGTATTATCAGAGATGCAGCGATGGAACATCTACTACGAAACAACCTTGTAAAAGATTGCCAACACGGTTTTATGCCGGGGCGCTCTTGCTTGACACAATTGCTCAAGGTATTGGATATTTGGACCCATATTCTAGAACGGGGTGGTAATATCGACAATATTTACCTAGATTTTGCCAAGGCTTTCGACAGTGTACCCCACGAAAGGCTGAAAATCAAACTGGAAGGGTACGGAATTCGGGGAAATGTCCTAGCGTGGATAGAAGACTTTCTACATGACCGCAAGCAATGTGTGGTGATTAATGGCACGAAATCGTCATCTGTACCTGTAACAAGTGGGGTACCGCAGGGTAGTGTATTGGGCCCGCTGTTGTTTGTTTGTTTCATAAATGATATGCCTGACGTTGTACACTCCTCCATACAAATGTTTGCCGATGACGCCAAGTTATTTCGGGAAATTAAGAACCAAGCGGACTGTGAAGAGCTGCAGAAGGACCTCTGTGGGCTCCAGGAATGGTCGAAGGAATGGCTGCTGAGATTCAATGTCACGAAGTGTAAGAGGATGCACCTGGGGCGTACCAACGGTAAGGAGGCGTACCATATGTCCCAACGGGATGAAGAAAATGTACTAGTTGAGACTGTGTGTGAGAAGGACCTAGGTGTGTATGTTGACAATGAGCTGAAGTTCTCGGGCCATTGTGAGAAGAAGGTAAATCAGGCAAATAAATTATTGGGTCTTATAAGAAGGTCGTTCAGATATCTAGACGGTCCGTCCCTCGTGACGATCTTCAGGAGTGAAGTGCTTCCCCATCTGGAGTACTGTCACCCCATCTGGTCCCCGAGATATGCTAGGGACTGTCAGTTGGTTGAAAATGTTCAAAGGAGGGCCACCAAGCTGGTGCCTGCACTTCGGCATCTCAGCTACCCTGCGAGATTGGAGCGCCTGAACTTGCCTAGCTTATACTACAGACGGGCAAGGGGGGACCTAGTTGAGGTTTATAAGCATCTCAGGGGGCACTACTCAGTTGAGTGTCCTTACTTGGAGCTGGCGGACGCTCGCCCCACAAGGGGTCACAGCTCAAGATTGAAGAAGCCGCAAGTCCGGAAAACCGTGAGGGCAAACTTTTTCGGAGTGAGGGTTGTAAACTCTTGGAACAATCTACCAGAAAGTGTTGTGACGGCACCGAGTGTGAGCTCTTTCAAGAGAAGACTTGACCAACACTGGAGCGGGTTCAGGTACATTCAGGAGCCGGTGCATGCCCAGTATTTGCCAACAGTGCGTGACAGAGACGTGACCGATCGCCCGGGCGGCTAGCGAGCCGACCTTTTGGCGAAGAATATAAAGGAAAAGAGTCGTGACCGATCGCCCAAGCGGCTAACAAGCCGATCAGTGGCGAAGAGGATAAAAGTAAAAGTAAAAGTGTCTGTGAATGGTGAAGACTACGGAAGGTGTCCTGGCAACACTGCCACTGCCTGGGTCACATCATATTATTACACTAATAGTTATGAAGAGTGTGATAGTCCTTGAACCATGGTGCTACTTTACACTCATTACAGCACTAACGGGTATCCTTCCTCTTCTTCGCTCTTCGTGGCGTGTTGTAGTAGACGGACACTGCTTCTGTGCTTTCTTCTTGCCAGGTGTTGGTGGTAAAGTGGAAGGAAAGTGGCGACCTCTGAGGCGGAGAGGTGTGTCACGAGCTGGATTACGAGGTGTTACATGGTGTTCTTGCCAGTACGTCTGAAACATCTCCCTCACCACTTCAACACGATGAAGTATTCTGATCATAGAGTGGGTCATTATCAGACTCAGAAAAATCATCTGGAGTAAGCTCTGATGTAGGCTCATACTCGACAGCGAGTTGCGAGCATTCCGGCTCAGTCAGCCTGGAGCTAGAGCCGTGTGACGTATTTTCATGCAGAACACAAGTACCTGCCCTTGACTCCCCAACATTGGCTAGGACACAAGACCCGAAAATGTAAGGCATAAAATTGCAACACTTGCTAAACATACAAACACCTAACATAAATATAACACCCAAGACGAAAATTAGCTGAAACACAAACATGAGAAAACAGAAGCACTTGGGTTGAGCCCCAAGACCTAGCATCCTACTACTACTTTCCAATTTCCTCGCCTTTCTTCTTGCACTATCCACCAACCCCAAGTCCCTCCAAATTCCACCATCATTCTTCAAGTCCAGTTCCCGCACCACCAATCTACGCACCAACATCAAGATCTCTTCACACTTTACTTCACCCTTCGATTCGATTCGATGGCTGGAGTGAGCATGACTCACATGGCCCGGGAAGCAGCACTGTATACCAGTAGGCAAGGAAGGGGTGATAATGCAGCTCTAGGCGCATCTCGCTACTACCACAAATAGCGCTGGTCGTGGATGGTCACCCAACGGGATTAAGCGCTCGACGGGTTAATAATCACAGTCGTCAGGTATACAGGTGTGTCCAAATATAAAATAACTATACCTTTATATGTGGTCAGCTGATCCTCCTTCATTAAGCTGAATAAAAAGCTTGAAAACAGTGAAAGAAAAATGCATTAAAATACTTCAGCATAATGGAAAAATATGGAACTATTATATCCACAAACTCTTAATTGTTCTTCCTATACTCGCTCCAAATAGTATCTATCTATCTATCTATCTACATATCATTATATCTATCTTTTAATCTTTCTACTTATCTTCCTCTGCCAGCGACGTGATGATGACGTGCCTATCGCGCTGGTGAAGCCTATTCAAGAGATCCGTGACGAACTACACAAAGATCAAGAGTTCGAAGTTGGCGTCTGTCACAAGGCCGACTCCCGCTAAGCTCTCAGTATCACCCAGCTCTCAGTATGAATGTATGCAAGGCGTATGAACGTACAGTATATGTCAAGATGCAGGTGTGCAGGTGTAAGTGGTGGTAGCCAGGTGTGAGGACGAGGAAAAAACGAACCTTGGATAACGTGTAGTGGCTAGGATAATCACACCTTAAGGCCGTTCGGTTAACATGTATTGCGTCAATTTTTGCGGCATTATACAAGGCTAAAGAAAAGCGTTCAATCTGCATAAACATGACTAACACGCACACACACTCACATGATCTTTCTATTATGCTCTGTTGTGAGGGCGCTTTAACATACAAAAACATTATGTGGTATATGAGGTGAAGAATATTTTTACTTACTGACGAAGATATATAATGGTAAAGGAATGTATAACTTATTTTTGTGACATGATTAACCGTATTGTATAAGTTGGATGATATTGGCACATTACGCTATCACGTTAAGAAGATATTACTGGATAAATTACCCTTCGCTTATTATGAATAAAGCCATTAGTTCAAAGGTGTACAGTGTAGCCTATTTAGCCCAAGTATAAATATGTGTGAGTTATAGTGTTTGTCCGTGAATAATATTATGTATAAAATATTATTTTGTCTGAACATAAATATACTAAATATTTTAACACGTGTTTTTCTCCGCTAAAATATTGTGATATTTTCATTAACTTAAATGTATGAAGTTTTTATATATTATATACTGGGAGTTAATTTACAGTGTAGCCTCGATACGGACTTCTCTCCATATAATCCGTGAGATGGGGGTTTCACATCTAACGGGCCCTCGATATAACCCCTAAAGGGATACGTTTGTGGCCAGCTGAGTGACGTCTAAATTTTGTACTGCTGGAAGACAGTTTCATATTACCATATTTTGTATTGTTAAAACCTGTTTTCTTAATTTTGTTACAGAATATTTAACTAAGCGAGTGACTAGTGCAATTATTTTAATGCAGAATATGTATATGGTGAAAATGAAAGCTCAGGTACATTCAGGAGCCGGTGCATGCCCAGTACCTACCAACAGTGCTTAACAGAATGGCAGTACATGCCCAGTACCTGCCAACAGTGCATGACAGAGACGTGTGTAGTGGACGTCTCCTCTACAAACTGCGTAGCTGCACACCACCTGCTAAGGTCTTCCCTAGCAACCAAGCGTATCCTCATTCCAATGCCCGCCGTATCTTAGCAACGGAACTAGTCACCGGCTACTTCTCGGGTTTTCCCAACATGACTCATAGAGGACTGGCGGCCGCTGCTGGGTGTATATAAGCTCTGTCTCTCCATTGAGATTCATTCTGCCCATTTTCCTGAACAAGCAACATCTCCTCCAGCAAGCTCCTAGCTGTCCAGCATTCATTCAATCAGGAGGCCAGCAACAGGCAACATCTTCTCTAACGAAGCTCCTGCACATCTACCTCCTTCACCAAGCTACTCACCGAACGTCTCTATTGACCAGCTCCTCACCACACGGCACCTCCAGCACCAGACTGTCTATCATATAACTTATATATTATACAAGAAAACCACATTAGAGTTTCCTTCCAACATTAATATCTCGATACCCCTACACGTGACCGATCAACCAAGCGGCTAACGAGCCAATCAGTAGTGAAGAGGATAAAAGTAAGTAAAAACTAAGTTTTATTCACCGTTATTATGATCTGGCACCTATGGCAGTGTGGCGAGGCGCGGCAGTGTGGCGAGGCGCGGCAGTATGGAGGGACGAGTTACAGTGCACAGTACAGGTGTTACAACATACTGATGACGTGGTGGTGAAGGCATACAACAACTGACATTGATCACGATCTTATTTGTGTAATTATAAAGACGGTAAGATAATGTGGTACAAGTAGACACGTCTGATAAGTGAAAGTGTGCACGGGGAAGAGGGTGGTGTAATATGGTACATTCAGAGTGACAGACTTTGAGATCCAAGTTGTAAAGAAAAAGAAAATCTTGTCAGTTTTCGTCTCAAACAGATAATTGAGATCCAGTGGTGTCCAAATATTGTGCGGTGACAATTTTTGAGGCGACAGGGACAACGTTAACATAAACAAACGCCACCATGAAGAAGATTAAGGGGCGCCTCTTACCCCTTCTCGCGTTCCTTATTCTCACTGCTTTGATATTTTACTCCGATGTTTACTTTAACGCCATTAAACCAATAATGATTAACTATAGCAAATATTGGCCAGAGGCAGTGGGGCAGGGCTCTAGTAACAATGTTCAGGACCCCACGAAAGACAGCCTCGTTCATGACCCCACGAAAGACAGCCTCGTTCAGGACCTCAAGAAAGACAGCCTCGTTCATCACCCCACGAAAGACAGCCTCGTTCAGGACCTCAAGAAAGACAGCCTCGTTCATCACCCCACGAAAGACAGCCTCGTTCATGACCTCAAGAAAGACAGCCTCGTTCATGACCCCACGAAAGACAGTCTCGTTCAGGACCTCAAGAAAGACAGCCTCGTTCATCACCCCACGAAAGACAGCCTCGTTCAGGACCTCAAGAAAGACAGCCTCGTTCATGACCCCACGAAAGACAGTCTCGTTCAGGACCTCAAGAAAGACAGTCTCGTTCAGGACCCCAAGAAAGACAGCCTCGTTCAGGACTCAAGAAAGACAGCCTCGTTCACCCCACGAAAGACAAAGGCCCTGTTCAGGACCTCAAGAAAGACAGCCTCGTTCATCACCCCACGAAAGACAGCCTCGTTCAGGACCTCAAGAAAGACAGTCTCGTTCAGGACCCCAAGAAAGACAAAGGCCATGCAGTCAGAAGTGTTAAGTATGCGCCACTTTGAAGACTTAAAACCAAACCCAAAACACACAATAACACCTGGAAGACAATAGTGTTTTGGGATCGTTGGTTTGGTGCAGATTGGTCTGGCAGGTAAGACACTGTATATGTGAGTTTTAGGATGTGATAACCAGACAGCTCTACACCACCTACAGTAGTTCTACATGTGGTGGGATGAAATCCTAGACAAGGTTCTTCAAACTCCAGAGCACGAGCAGTATATTCAATGGTGCTGGCATGTAAGACTTGGCGGACAGTTTCCACTTGATAAGGTTGTTAGCTTTGGAAAGCTGGACAAGGGAATCCCGTGACTGTGAGGTGCAGTGAAAAGCCGAGAGAACGATCTTGGGAGGAAGTTAACTGGTTGTGTTAAGGGAGCTGTTGTGACATTACTTTCAGACAATAAATTAGGTCTTCTAATTACTCGACTAGCGGGGTACAGACATAGTACATCGGGACATAGCAAGTGAACATAGGCATTAGACATAAGCATAGATATCAAACATGCTATAATAATATGTAGTAATACAGACATGTGAATAAATGGTACAATGAATGGTAACAGAGTCCTGCCGTCAGGCGTGTTCACATATCTTGGTATTTACATATCTATACACCTCCCTCCCCCTTTACGCTCGTAGTGCAATCTCGAGCGGCTACGGACTCTTTTTCCATGAGTCGGGGGGAGCGGCGAGGGACAATGGGAGGATCAACTGACGTCCTTCGTTCCTGGTCTGGGCAAGGGGACACAGGGGACGGGGAGGAAGGTTCGTCACTAGAGGATGGCACTGGGCGGAGATGGCGTCTGTTTCGCCACCACACACGACCACTGGGGAGGCGGACTTGGTACGAACGAGACTCGCCACGGCCCATGACGACCCCGACCTTGTCCCAGCGGTGTGACGTCGGGTCCTGGATTCGTACTTGCTGGCCGACGGCCAACCTGGGAAGGGGGCGGGCGTGGGCGTCATAGTGGCTTGTCACTTGGGCCATCCGGGCAGCCTCACGGCGGTCACACTCGTCCGCCTTGATCTGCCATTCATCTGAGAAGGACTGGGGGTGGGCAGGCACACAAGTACGAAGGGGGCGGCCATACAACACCTGGGCAGGAGAGCGTCCGGCAGGGGTAGGGGTGTTACGGAGTTCTAGTAGGCCCCTGTCGAACTCCTCGCAGTCCAGGTTCCCCGTCGGTGCTGTCTTGAGGATGAGGTATTTTACGGACTTTACCGCTGCCTCGGTGTGGCCATTCGCCTGCGGGTAATGAGGGGAGGTGACGATGTGGTGGATGCCCCAGCGTTCGGTGAAGCTCTTGAACTCGTGGCTATTGAACGGGGGCCCACCGTCGGTTCGGAGGTGGAGAGGCACTCCGACTTCCCGGAAGAAGCAACAAAACATCCAGATGACCCTGGAAGAGGTGGTGTCCCGACCACAGGGAACTACCACGGGCCATCCAGAGAGCCTGTCGGCGACCACCAGGAAAGACTTTCCGGCCACATTAAAGAAGTCGGCGGACACGGACTCAAAGGGCCGCTTCGGGAGGTCATTGCACAGGTACGGCTCCTGTTGCTGGCTGGGCTGGAGTTGCTGGCAAGGCTCACAGGCCTCAACCGTGCTCTTAATATCGGCGTCAATACCAGGCCAGAAGACGGTCTGACGGGCTCTGCGCCTGGTGGCTTCAACGCCGCGGTGGCTGTCATGGAGGCGGGATAAGGTGCGCCGGCGGAGGGCAGCGGGAACGACGATCCTGGGGCCGTACAACACCAGCTCTCCGTCCGCATAGAGGCTATCCCTTAGCTTCCAGAAGGGGAGGGCGGAGGCGTGAATGTCGTAGCGGTTGGTGGGGAATCCAGCGGAGACGTAGTCGAGGAGTTGGACGTATGCCGGGTCTTGAGCGGCGGCGATGCGAAGCTCCTGGAGAGTCCTATCGTCTTCGATGGAGGGCGTCGTCGTCGTCTTGTCAGCAAGAGAAGTGGCTGTGTGTGTCACTAAAGACCGAACGTGAGCAGCGGCCGTGGTACAGTCGACTTCATCTTCAGGTGTGGGGCGACTAACAGGGGCTCGGGAGAGGGCGTCTGGTATGCACAGAAGCTTCCCGGCGCGCCACACAGCTGTAAAGACGTAAGGGGCGGTCTTCTCTTTGAGGCGTTGGAGGCGAGGATTTTCGATGGCGTCCAACGTGTAGTGATTGAGGATGGGTATGAGCGGGCGATGGTCCGTCATGAGGGTGAAATGCCCAAGGCCGAACAGGTAAAGGTGGCACTTGGCCATAGCCCAGGCGACTGCCAGCATCTCTAGTTCGATGGTGGCGTATCTGGTCTCCGTGTCGGTCAAAAACCTGGAGCCACACTGAACTAAGTGCAGTCTACCCTGGCCGTGATCTTGAAGGAGGGCATATCCGAGGCTGTATAGACGGGAGGCGTCGGTCTGGAGGACCACTGGTAAGGACGGGTCGAAGGGTGCCAAGACTGGTGGTGACAGCAACGCCTTCTTAACATTCCTGAACGCTAGGTCGTGGTCAGGAGTCCAGAGGAAAGAGCGCTTGGGGCTCATGAGGGGGCGTAGAGGTTGGGCTGATGTGGCGATTTTAGGGGAGAAGTCGGCCAGCTGATTTACCAGGCCCATAAATAAGCGAAGGTCGGTCAGGTTCGCTGGAGTAGGGAAGTCCCTGATGGCCTTGACCTTCTCCTCATCAGCTGAGATCCCCTCTGACGAGATGTTGTAGCCGCAGTAGTTAACTTGGGAGGCGGCGACCACAAATTTATCTTTGTTCAGGGTGATACCATGGGCACGACATCTTGTGAGCATCAGATGAACTCGGTTCAAGTGGGCCGGGAGATCATCGTCGAAGAGCAGGATGTCATCTACGACCTTCACGCAGTTGGTGACACCCTGCAGAGCCATATCCCCACGGAGGCAGTACGCATCCCCCGTTGCTGCGAAGCCCATGGGTCCGCGGCAGTGTTGGAAGCGGCCGTGGGGCGTGATGAATGTAGTGAGGTGGCGATCTTCTTCCGCCAGGTCGACTTGCCAGTACCCATGTAGTGCATCCACCGTGGTAAAGAACTTTGCAGACAGGGTGACGCTGCGGACTGCTTGAATGGGCGTAGGCGATGGATGGGCGGGACGGGAGACCTGCGAGTTGAGATGGGTGAGGTCCACTGTGATGCGAACACCTACAGGCTTGGGTGCCAAGACCATAGGATGGCACCACTCGGAGGGCTCCTCACCGGCGTGTCTGATGATCCCCTGCTGCACCAGAGAATCGAGCTCCGCCTTCACCTTGTCCCATATGGCAAAGGGGATAGGCCTGGGTGTGTGGATGGCGAAAGGCGTCGCGCCAGGCTTGAGGTGGGTTCTCATCGGGGGGCCTGTCATCTTCTTGAGCGGCGTCTTCTGGAGGTCGGACTTGGAGACAAGGACGTCGCTGAACTGACGAAAAAAGAACTCCCGGGCGGCAGCAGGTGTGGTCATGGCTGAAACAGGTATCTCTGCACACCTGTTGAGGTGTGTCACAGCGAGGATGGGCTTTGGGAACTCGGATGAGACGATGGCCAAGTCCTGACAATGGCCACATGACAAGAGAGGGGTTTGGATGCCCTCATGGACGTGGACTGTGGCAAGGCAAGACTTGGGACCGAGCTGTAGTGTTGCCTTGAAGCAACCCAAAGGTGGAGACATCGGGGACCCGTCCGCTGTGAGCACGTCGTTCATGGCTGTGGGTGACAAGCTACTCCTGGGAATGTTGAGGGCGTCCAGGTGTGTTGGTCCAATCACCGTGATGTCCGCGCCCGTGTCAGGTATCATCAGGAGGTTGGAAGAGTTGGTACCGTAGGACAGACGAACATTGACGGGCTTGGGGGACCTGTCACTCGAGGCATCATCCACGCGTCGGCATCCTTTGTTGTTCTTGGGAGACAGTGGTGTGGACGTTCTGTAGGGCTGTGAAGAGACGTTTTGACCTGGAGATGGAGGCTTCTTGGTGGACCTGCAACACTTGGCGAAGTGTCCTTGCTTGTTGCAAGCGTTGCATGAGACCTTGTTGGCAGGACATCGAGTTGTGCGGGGCCAATGGCCTTGAAACCCGCAGTTTCGACATGTACTATCAGCCGCAGGGCACTTTCCTGGACCATGCTGGCGCTGACAGTTCCTGCAGGATTCGGGAGAAGAAACTGGTGACTGTGACGGGGGCTGTGGAGAGGACGCCGTCTGCATCTGGCGTTGATTCCTCTTGTAGGTGGAGACGGCGTGAACTTGAGATGGCGATGAGTGTATAGCTGAGGCAGCCTCTCTTGTGGCCTCATACGACCTGCAACAGGTGACGAAGTCGGTGAGGGAAGAGGCGGCGTCGAGGGTGAGGAGTTTCTGAAGCAGGTCCTCGTCACGTACACCCATCAGCAAGATCATCTTGAGCTGGATCTCAGCACAGGTTACAGGATCGCCTGTACATAGGTCCACCTCGGCTGCTAGGTCCTTAAGTCGTGCATAGAAGTCTGAGAATGATTCCCCAGAAGCTTGTTTGCAGGATAGCAGTTCCCTACGACGCAAAGCTTCATTGCGGAGGCCACGGAAATGACTCTGCAAGGCGTTTAAAACCTCTGTCACTGACCTGGGGGAGTGAGGGGGGATGGCTAGCGTGTGCCCTAGGAGGCGTTGAACATCGAGGGAAATGCACGATCTTAATTGGATGAGTTGTTTATGAGGGGGCATTCGGTTGAGGTCAGACATAACAGCAAAGTCTTCGAAACGACGTCGCCATTGACGGTATACTTGATATGTTGCATCAGATTGAAGAGGTGGGGGACTGGGAACTGAAGACTTGCTGTGCAGGGGTGTACTCGAGACGGCAGGCAATGGAGGAGGCACGGAGAGGTCGACGAGAGTTGAGACTGGAGCAGGTGGTTGAGAAGGCACTGAGGCATACCCAAGGGGGATAGGTGACGTGTGAGGAGGCGTTGTCTGAAGGATAGATGAAGAGGCTGAAGCTGGCGAATTGGTTGTGGCAGCTGGTGAAGTCGTCCTCGTTGCCAGCAATTCCAATAGGTCCAGGAATTTGCGGTTATCAGCTTGGTGTTGTTGTTGAAGTTGAAGACGGTAAGCTGATTCCTCTGACTGTCTTGACAATTCCTCTTGATGTCGTTTTTCCTCCTCTAATTGACGTCTTTGGGCTTCCTTCTCTTGGGAAACTTGTAGGAAGTGGATTAACTGACGTATATCCTGGCTCCCATCCTTTGAATTTGGCGCGCCCGGTCACCTATAAAGTGCCAGTGACAAGGACCACCTCGGTGTTTACATATATCTTGAAAACTGTGTCGGCGACCCCAAGCACCAGGGACAAAGACCCACGGTCTTTACGACTGACAAATATTAACAGATGTCTACCAGTGTCAGTGGCCCTCAAAGTGCCGTCAGTGACAAACACTTCCGTCCGCCCACAACAGATATCAACAGATGGCCACCAATCACTTACTCCCGACTCACTCTGTACCATCTAAAGCGTGGGAACGGTTATCCTGATGGCAGTGTTATCGCGCGACTCAAGTCACTGAACATATTCCACGCGAGTAGCCGTAGACAAGGCCGTCATACACATAAGCCCATTAGAACCATAACCTCCACTAGGAAACCGGAGAAACCCACCCCTGACAGACCATACCACCACACTGAAGTTCCACGGATATGGTATGATCTCCCGTCTTTACTGCTATCCAACGTCACTTCCCTAGCTAACAAGTTCGACGAGCTGGCAACTACAGTCAGGTCAGCCGCCGCGAGCATCGTTGCCATATGTGAGGCTTGGCAAATTGTACCTGAAACGTGTCATATTGAGGGATATCAACTCTTTCATCACCTTCGTTCACATAGACGCGGAGGGGGCGTTGCCCTCTTCTGTCAAGATGACCTACGCCCGTCACGCCTGGATGTTCAAGTCCCAGCAGATGTGGAAGCATTATGGGTACGTGTCATGCCACGGGCCCACCCGCGCAACACTGCTTCCATCATAATCTGTGTGGCATACCATCCGCCTCGCTCACCCACCAGAGACACTCTTATCAATCATCTCATCACCACCTCAGACCACCTCAGAGTTAGGTACCCATGTGCCAAGTTAGTATTATGTGGGGATTTTAATGAAATTGACACCACTGATATCCAGGACCAGCTATCACTATCACAAGTTGTGACCTTCCCCACACACGGTCAAAATACCCTTGACCTTATCTTAACTGACTTAGCGGACCAGTACCAACCACCTCAACCAATGCCTCCTATCGGGTGTAGCACACACTTATCAGTGCTCTGGTCCCCAGCTGCCACTCCCACTCAAGTACAGAGACCCTACATCAAGACCTACAGGCCGATTACTGACTCTGCACTGCGCCTCTTCGGGCAGTGGATAGTTCACCATCCCTGGACTGAAGTACTTAGCGTGGATGACGTGGAAACCAAATGGATAAATTATACCAACACCACCACGGAAGCCCACCACCACTTCTTCCCCGAGAAGTCCGTCAGTTCTCACCCAGCTGACTTGCCCTGGATCACACCTCGGATCAAAAGACTTATGCAACAGAGAGACAGAGCCTTTCATCTCAATGACCACATCCGCTACAGGTCCCTTCGCAACCGAGTCATCCGCGAAATACGCACTGCAAAGAAGTCCCACTACCCAACCAAATTACAACACCTGAAGCAGACCAACATCAGTCAATGGTATGGTAAGCTTAAAGAACTCTGTGGACTAAACAATAAGACACACCCCCTCCCCTTCCTTAGCCATCTCACTAATGATGACGCAGCTGAGCAAACAAATAACCATTGCGCTACTATATGCCAGACGCTCCCCCGGCTTGACACAACCACTCTCCCTGCTTACCTACCAGCCCCCCTTCCCACTGACTTAGTAGAAGAATTTGAAGTAGCAAAACGCCTGGACAAACTAAAATTAAAACGCTCTACCACCCCATTGACTTACCAATGAAACTTTTCAAGGAGTTCTCCCCGGAGCTTGCTAAACCCCTATGCTCCATCATCAATGCTTCTCTCAGTCAAGCCAGATGCCCAGCTGACTGGAAGACCTCTTATGTATCACCAGTGCCCAAGTCAACCAGCCCACAATCCTTAAATCAGCTACGACCTATTGCAATCACCCCAATACCCACTACCCAGCCTAATCTGTGAAAGTTTTGTGTTCGACTGGGCTTATGCTGATATTGCAGGAGTCGTAGACCCTCAGCAATTTGGCAACATGAAAACTTCCTCCACCACTCACTGTCTTGTCAGCTTTCTCGATTACATATACCGCCATCTCGAGAAACGAAAAACGTCTGTAGCTGTCGCCTTCATTGATTTCACTAAAGCGTTCGACCTAGTCGACCACAATATAATCATCAACAAAGCTATTGACCTCGGGCTTCGGAGAAGTCTTATACCATGGGTTACAGACTTCCTCAGTGACCGACGCCAAGCTGTACGCTTCCGAGGGGCTGTCTCCACCTTTCAGTCACTCACCTGTGGCGTCCCCAAAGGCACCAAGATGGGACCACTCTGCTTCCTTATGCTCATCAATGATGCCCTAAGAGAAACCCCTGCTCGCTGGAAATATGTCGACGACTCCACCATTGGGATCAGCGTCAACAATTCTGCTCCCAACTATACCGCCCTTCAGGATTTATTGAACAGTCTCCAAAACTGGGCCACCAACAACCATGTCACCATCAACCATACCAAGACCATGGTTATGCACATCAACCTCTCCTCCGACATTGTCCCACCTCCTTCCATTACTCTAGGTCCGAACACACTCCAGGTTGTAGATTCCACGAAGCTCCTCGGCGTCACCATAGACAACAAACTAAATTGGAAACCACACGTCAGTGAAGTTGTCAAATCCTCCAGTTTCCGTCTCCACCTCCTCCGCCGACTCAAGTCCCTCGGAGTTCCTGCACACGAGCTCAGTCAGTGTTTACACAACATTCATACTTCCCAAGCTCACCTATGCCCCCACCTGGTCTTCCTCCCTAAAATGCCACACAACGTAAACACCTAGAAAAAGTGCAAAAGAGGGCATGCAAGATTATTCTCTCCCCTTCCTACTCCACATATCAAGAAGCGCTCAACACACTGACCCTTTCGACTCTCACTGACCATCACCACGACCTCATCTGCAAATTTGGTAAGAAGCTTCTACACCATCCTCGACACCGGCTCCTACTACCACCTGAGATCCCTAGTCCGAGAATTGCTGTTCGACACCACAACCGCATCCAGCCCATACGTGCAGGAACTGATCGCTATAAGAACAGCCCAGTCCCAACCATTGTAAAAATTATCAATAACTTGTAATAAACCAGTGTATTCACTCCCAGTAAACACTACTCCTTGCACTGTCACTATGTTGAAATGAACTGTAGTTCGAGCTTTTCCCCATCTAGTTATTATATGTCTTATTTGTGTCACTTATGTTACTTGTATATTATTTGTAATTCGAAACCCATTCCCCAAATATGTAACTGTATATTTTCAGCCTTCTGGCTGCCAAGCTCTTTCAATAAACCGTTAATTATTATTATTTGTGACACGCAGGTTCGGTACCACCAACTCGACGCAGCTGTGGCAGGAAGGTTGTCCCTCCTGGAGATGTGTCTTCACCTATAATAAGACATCCATCCTCCAGAAGGCAGACGCTGTCCTCTTCCGGAACAGAGCGTAAGTCAAAAACGTACTCCTATGGCCGCTGTAGAGTTTTTTTTTTAGTTTAGCAAATTTATTGACAAATCCTGAAGTACAGTTTGCCTATTCCGAGTAATTCAGTCAGGGGGTCCTGACACTTCTCTGCACGCAGGACAGAGGTTCATACACAAAGAAATACATCGTATTTATTGACAGCATACATATATCAGCATATACCTGGATCACGCGCACCCACAATGATTTACTTGCATATATATATATATATATATATATATATATATATATATATATATATATATATATATATATATATATATATATATATATATATATATATATATATATATATATATATATATATATATATATATATATATATATATATATATATATATATATATATATACACATACACACACATACACATACCTACATATATATACCTAGATCAGATTCATGTGGGTAATGTCACTGTTCACTGCCACGCAGGACAGAGGTTCGTACACAAAGAGTACATCATATTCATTGACAGTACATATAGGTCAGGGTCAGATTAGATTGCCCCTGAGGGGCTAGTTTATTGGGCACCCCCTTACATCCTGTGCAAGGTGAAGCGCAGAAGCTTTTACAGTGCCCATCTGGGAAGCAAGCAGAGTTCATGCTTGCCTTTATGGTCATGCATTAGGGCGTAAAAGTCTGAAGGGTCGTGGGTTTTGTCAGCAAGTTACATAAAGTGACAGAATGATGAGTGCGTGGGGGGAAATATCCCGGTACAATTTATCTGTTTATGGCAAAGCGTGGCAGGTCCCTAATAATGTCAAGTGCCGGGCCATAGCCATAGGCCTTGACAGCATTGAGGGACATACCTTTTAGTGTGAATGTGATGGCGTGAACGTCAGTAGTGTCGGCTTCAAGGGGGACGTCGAGAGGTTGGTAGGGGACGTCCTTCTTGGCGTAGATACGTAGTCCACTCGCATGTCCGCATGGTGGTCAATTGATGTGGAGAACTGGAGTGGATGGGCCCCAGGTGACGGCACACCGGCGGGGGAGGACAGGCGGCCCCCGGCCCCCTCGGTGTCCTCGGGTCCATGAGCGTGCGGTGGGTGGATGGGAGGAGCCAGTGCAGACTCTGTCTGGACGGAGGCAGGCTCGGTATGGACGCCGTCAGTGGTGTCAGGCGGCGGTGGAGTAGGCCGTGAGCATGAGGGGCACACAGGGGGGCTACCAGGTTGTGTCAGACCAGAAGAGGAGGGTGACTGGGTAGCAGCTGGAGGCAGGGGTAGTCAACGTGTTCCACTCACTTTCTGGATTATCAAAACACCCAGTAGTAAATATCAATAAGTGGCTGAGAATCTTTACTAGTTGAGTAGTCATAACACGTGAATAGGTTGGTTTTGTTTTTCGTGTTTCGGGTGGAGTTAGTGAGCGAGACTCAGACAACGAGGGACGAGATACGAGGATCAGGGGTTGGAGCGGGGGGACGAGGTCGAGACACGTCCCATCTCCATCCTGACAGAATGACCATTCAATGTTCGTGTGTCTACGAGACACTGCTACCACAACGCCCCCCCCCCCAGTCTTCCGGGCCACACCCTCTGCGTCCCCTCTGTCTCCAGCAACAACGCCTTCTTCAACAACACCTGCCCCTGCCTGGCCTCTCCTGCCTTCAACACAGCAGTCCCGGCCGTCTCCTAACTCAACTACTACTGGGCCTCCTCCCATCTCTACTCTGAGGCTGCCAGGCCTTGTGCTCCCACCGGTGCCCCCCCAACCCCCTCCAGTGACATGACAGATCATATCCCTCTTCCAGAATTTACCAACCGTATTGAAAAACTCTTCGCTACACTCTGTACCACCATCTCTGACCTACTCCTGCCTCTCTGTTGCCACCCAGTCACTCCTCTCTTCTGGTTTGACGCAAGCTGGTAGTCCCCAGCCCCCTGCTCACGGCCTACCCCACCGCCGGCGGCCTTCACTACTGGTATAGCGCCTACCGGGCCTGCCCTGGTGTGTCCTGCTGCCCCTGAGCGAAGTCCTGCCTCATCTTCACGACACTTGGTGCCTCAACCTGTCCTCCACCCACCGCAAGCCGCGCCCACTCCTGTGTCTGAGCTGTCTCCACCAGGGCTACCTGGACCTGAGGACACCATCCCCGGCTACCTGTACCCCACCGGCATGTCGACGCACACGCCATCACAATCACACTAAAAGGTGTGTCCCTCAATGTTGTCAATGCCTATGTGCCTCCCTCCACCCCTACTGTACCTGCCCCACCACACCATATCACCTTCACCCCCACTGTACTTCGCCACGCCTAGTACATTGGCATCCCTGAGCCTGGCCGCACTGTCTGTAAACTTTGTGGTCACCCGACTCTCACACCCTCTTTCACCACATCCTCACTTGCCCTATGACCTCCTCCTACAGGTCCCCAGCCGTTACCAACACCTCGTCCCTCCCTGACCAGATATCCCTCCTCCTAGTGACAGGCCTGGCACTAGGGACCTGCCACACTTTGCCATAAACAGATAAATTGTACCGGGAATTTTCCCCCCACACACTTATCATTCTGTCACTTTATGTAACTTGCTGACAAAACCCATGACCCTTCAGGCTTTTACGCCCTTAATGCATGAGTCATAAAGGCAAGCATGAACTCAGCATGCTTCCCAGATGGGCACTGTAAACGCTTCTGCGCTTTACCTTGCACAGGGTGTTAGGGGGTGCCCAATAAACTAGCCCCCTCGTGGGCAATCTAAAAAAAACAATCCATCCTGACACGCGGTGTACTGCAGCCTACTTGCCACATTCAACGCTGAAAAGCGGGAAATCGCTTTGGCGCGTAAACAGAGTGGTTGGTCACATGAGAATATTTTATAAAACTACATGATTTTAGGACGCCAATCGACACTGACTATACTTAGCGTGGTGGGACACCAAGTGTTAATTAGGCAAGACACTCGAGAAGTTAGCGTGGTGAGACTACACCTTCTACAGTGGCAATAATATCCTTACATATGCTTAGGCTGTGTCACGTGTGTCATGTTGTGTCAAGTGTGTTATGTACAGGACCAAGTGGTGGACGCTGCCGAGGGGACATGTGAAGGAGCTGAGATGGGTACTGGTGGACGTAGAGGCTCCCCCGCCCGGACCGACACCAAACACACCCACAGACAGGCTCTACAGCACCCTCGTCAACTGGACCATGACCTACCACTCTCATTCAGATGTCGTCGCCTTCTACGGATACTTTCTTTCCCTCAACGCCTCTGTAAGGTAACGTGGTTATGCCTTCTCTAATGTATGCAGGACAACATCATTATAGGTGTTTTACAGTACATTTCCACTCAACTTCTTAACGTCAGAAGCAAACACCCTCGACCTTGGCCCGTCCTGAAGCAGTTTTGGCGAAAATCTACCAAGTAATGTTCACTTCAATAACAAAACAACAAAAACAATAAGTGACCAAGAGAAACAGACAAAAAAAATTAAATAAATTAAAAAAAGTCAATTACCCACATTATCTCCATTTCTCTCCCCTTGTAAGCTATTCAGGAGACGCATAGAACTTGCTTTCTATATTAATCTCTCTCTCTCTCTGTCTCTCTGGGTAGTTGCAACCTCTTAACGTCTGCTGCTACACTCATGCGCTTGCAGTAATAGTCGCCATATACTTGTTGTCAGTACGTGCTCTTGATAATGTTTATACTGTCCTTAAGACACCACAGTTTATTTTACTTGAAGATTAAGACACCCTTACGCTAACCTAACCTAGCCAACCCTATCCTATGCTAACCCTCTCTAATTTATCTTAACCTAAGCTACCTAACTCACCCAGGTAAAGTGTTTAATTATCAGGTGGAATAAACTGGAGTGTCTCAATTGTGATACGATCCCTTTATCTTTAATCCTGGAGTACACTAATAAACGCTGAGGGATTCATTGGTTACTTTCCACCTAAGAGATTGAGCTAAGTGACTACCTGTATATAATAACTTTCATATATAAAACTATAATATTTGTGTTTTATTATTCCTACACTCACCGTCCAGGCCGCTACGCCCGAACCAGATGAGTGAACACAAAGAAGCGGTAGCTGGAGTGAGGAGGTTACTGGCTGACGGCGTCACCCTGGAGGAGGCGATGGGTCCATCTTTGAATACCTACATCAACAAGACTCGCGTGGTGGCTTGGATGTCCAGCCATTGTCCAACACGATCAAGAAGGGAGGAATATGTCCATCACCTCAACCAATACCTTCCCGTGGATAAGTGAGTGTCCTCTACACCCTCACACTACACCCAGTACCATACACCCTCACACTACACCCAGTACTGTACACCCTCACACTACACCCAGTACTGTACACCCTCACACTACACCCAGTACCATACACCCTCACACTACACCCAGTACTATACTGTACACTCTCACACTACACCCAGTACCATACACCCTCACACTACACCCAGTACTGTACACCCTCACACTACACCCAGTACCATACACCCTCACACTACACCCAGTACCATACACCCTCACACTACACCCATTACTGTACACCCTCACACTAGACCCAGTACTGTACACCCTCACACTACACCCACACACTCCAAGAATTTATCACACACACACAACCACAAGTTTCCTCCTCTTTTTGGAGTGAAAGTTTTCATTAAATGACTCACCACTCCCTAATATCTGCTTGCGTAATTTACATAATTTTTGTCCATTGTGTATTTCCAGCCCTTAGTAGTAGTAATACACACACACTCTCTCCCTTGGCAGGTATGGGTCGTGCGGTAACCTGAGTTGCGGACGAAGGCACCCGCTTGAATCACACTGCTGGCAGACCGTCTTAACACACTACTCCTTCTACATGGCCATGGAGAACGCCCTCTGTCTCGACTACATCTCCGAGAAGCTTTACAATCCTCTCCTCAAAAACATTGTTCCCGTAGTGTGGGGAGGTGTGTGTGTGTGTGTGTGTGTGTGTGTGTGTGTGTGTGTGTGTGTGTGTCTGTGTGTGTGTGTGTGTGTGTGTGTGTGTGTGTGTGTGTGTAATACAGTAACTAACTTTAAAACCTGATCAATATTATTGCAGTAATAAAGTCACATAATAACGCCTAACTGTATGATACTGTCTCCCTCTACCGTCACTTCCCTTTGATTCTTATAGCGACAACTTCCCCGACAGGAGCAGACTACAGTAACTACCTGCCGCCTAACTCCTACATCGACGCCCGCCAGTATCACCCCGAGGAGCTGGCCAACCTTCTCCTCAACCTCCACAACGACCCCGTAGCCTATGGCAGGTAAGATGGGATCACCTGAAGATTAACCACCCTAACGCTAACCTATCATAATCTAACCCCCTTCCACACACACACACACACTTACACAGAACACAAACACACGCGAGGTGGGCGGAGATCCCCGCCCACCTCGCGCAGTTTGCCACTACAACAAAATTCAGCCCATAAGAGCCCGCACTGATAGATATAAGAATAACACCATCCCATCTATTGCTAAAATAATAAACAACTCCTGATTTTTGTGCTGTACAGCCCTGTAAATGTATTGAATGTATTTTATTATGTCTAAATCACATGTACGTTTGTATATTTTCAGCCACCGGCTGCAACTCTCTTAATAAATCGTTTAATATTATTATTATTATTTATTATTATAACACACACATAGATAAGTTTGTTCACTACTAGTTACGTTTTATAGTTTGAGAGCACAACACCACCACTAAACAACACACGTGGCAAACAGATTAACTTATAGTCCAACAAAATTAACTTCAAAATCAGAACTTTACCACAATGTAATAAGTACAACAGATGGTGACCTCTGTCTAGCCTGTTACATCTCTATGGCCAGAGACTGTGCAGACACGGAAACAAGTCAAATATATTCTGTATACCTCATACTGTATACACCTTCGTTACCAGTTGACAGCTTCATACACAAGTTTTCTAGAGGATTGAGACACGGAAATACCTTGTTGTATTGTACATTGTTCATTCCATATGGTCAGTATTATTCATAAGTATATACCTTACATATCCACTAGTACAGGTGTTTGAGTTTACATTAAGAGTTATTGCATATCTTAATGGGTCGTCTGTTAAGTTTCCTTGCTTGAGCCTAAACCAGTGAGGAAGAGGGTGGTAACCTGATTCAACCTAACAATTGTTATCATAGAGTGCCTTAAGGACACTCAATAACTGCTTTAAACATCAATTATACATTTTCACATTATCGAACCAAAGTAAACGCACATTTGTCGAAACCATTTATGTTTCACCTAAATATAGTCGAAGGATTCACACTTCAGGTACCATCTGTGGCGAGCTTACCTACGACCTATGGTGGGGGGGAGCATGTGTGAACTGTGTCATCTACTCCACACCGACACATCCCACCACCACTATCACAGCATCGCCACCGCCAGGCACCTCAGAGGGCAGTGCCTCTCCCTCCCTACCAAACTCTTTCACCCGCGCCATTCCACCGCTTGGAAGCAAGTCATCGCCAGTAATCACTCCGAGAACAAACACAAAATACCACCTCAGTGGTGAAACGGTTAATGAGTGCTGCTCTACCGGTTCATTGGCAGACATGTTCACTTAATACCAGACAAAATAGTTCGGACGTTGTTTTTGGTTAGCTAAAGTCAATCAGTGAAGTGCATTCTTACATCTTCATTCACCAGGAACAAACATTGTATCAACCCTCGTGTGTTATGTGTTGTACTCCCCCGCAAGTGAAATTTGGGGGGCTTGGCTCCTGTGGTCGCCCCCTCCCCCCTGATTTAAAATAAAAGGCTAAAAAAAATTTCGATAAACTCAGAATAATTACGAACTTCATAATTGCGGGGGGAAACCTTACTTTAAAGTGGGTCCCCCTGTGCACAACCACACTTTTCTGCAGAGCTGAAATTCTATTTTCAGGTAGTTATTTTATAGTGGGGAAAACTTCAAGAGAAATATTTGAAAATCATAAAATAAGAAAAATTTGATACTTTGATCATATAATTAGAGATGAAGGGATAATAGTGAGAATATTATGGACAAAGTTGAGAGTAAGAAGGCCGGGGGAAGGCGGAGACGGGGTGGACGAATGAAATTAAAAACTTGGTCCCCAGGCAGATGCAAAATCTTCGAGGATTGGTAAAAACAGCCCGAAGAAGTTTAGAGTCCAGAAAACTGAGGGTTAACTTTTTTCGGGGTGAGAGTTGTGAACTCGTGAAACAGCCTGCCAGAGAGAGTTGTGACGGCACCGAGTGTGAGCTGTTTCAAGACCAGATTTGACCAACACTGGAGCAGGTACAGATACATTCAGAAGCCAGTACATGCCCAGTACTTGCCAACAGTGTGTAACGAGCCGATCAGTGGTGAAGAGGATAAAAATAAGTAAAAAGTGTGTCTGTGTTTTGGCTTGATTCTCATTTTAACATAAAGAACTGAAATTGGTTAGGTTATGTAACTAAAGATGCAACGCCAGGTATCCCAGCTAATCCTGTACAGCGTCTATGAGTCACATCTCATGAGTGTTCATGTTACATGAGTGATCTTTTCTGGAGCTAAATTTCATGTTAAGTTATCCTGTTTACTGTTATATTTAATTTTTTACCCTTAAGTAGTCATAAGAAGATAGGAATAAAACTTATATAGAAAAACATTATTATTGAGCAACAGTATGAGAATTCCACACCTAGTCCTAGCCTTGTACTGTTAATACTACTAGTTTTATTTAACCAATTTCGCGTCCGACTAAATTTACCAAGGCTGGGAAATACCATCTTATGAAAATCATATCGGGTATACGTACTGTATATATATTCTGCCACTGCCGACTTTTTGTTTACTTGCAGGAAATAGCCATATGGCATCACAAAAATTATGACCAAGTGCCAGGTTGCTGATCTGACTTTCTGCCTCATTTACACACAATTGCAGGGTCTCAATTGTTTCTCTTACTACTGACAACACAACATACATATGTGTACTTGTATATTGTTTCTCACTTTTGATCTTTTTTCATTTTTCTATTTATGGTTCTGTATTATTATTATTATTATTATTATTATTATTATCATTACTATTATAACTATTACAGTTATTATTATTATCACTATTATTTTATTATTATTATTTTTTCCATAAATTTTATTTATTATGAATTATTATGACTATTATTTATTATTATTATTATTACATTTTCGCCCCCCAGGCCCCGATGTGGGTCAGTGACCTGTGCCCGGGTGGGCTAATCCCCGTAAAAAAAAAAAAAAAAAAAGTATTTCGTAATAAAATATTTAAATTTTCTTTATGTTAAAAATTTTGCTTTAATTATTAATGTCTATTGCAATCAACTGCACTTTGTTCTGTAGATTAAATTTTTATATATGCTAGATTCTTATCACCAATGCCACAAACCTTGCTTATCGCAAAATCTCACAAGACAAATTCATTAAACTTAATTAGGATACGGCAAAGTACTTATTTATTTGGGCACAATTTTATATACGGTCTCATCGTTGTTGTTTTTTCTAAGCCTAGCATAGGCTACCGGTCACTCAACTGGATTTTGTCTTCGCTTAACTTAACTCATCGTAAAGTGAGCACCAAGCACAAGTTTTAGGCCTCAAGAAGCTGCCAACGATTCAAGTATTTTATCTATTTCCTAATATATATGTTCCACATTCATTCATTAACAAGTCCAATTATTAAGCTTCTTCCTGTAAATTTGGAGCAGAAAAACGATCTCATAAATACTAATGTGTTGGAAGCCAGAGGAACAAGGGGTGTGGCCAAGTAGTAACGTTCAGGGCCGGATTCAGGAGTGGGCAAAGTGGGCAGCTGCCCAGGGGCCTCCACATATTACAATATTTTATTTATTTGTTTATTCATTTGGATTATTTTTATTTTCATTCTTTAAAATTCATGTTCATCTATTCCATCACGTAAAACTATGTTCAGCAAGAAGCGTGATACAAATTAGGCTAGCTACTCCTTGAAATTCATGAATACCTGGTTTTCCTATGAACCGTATATTTTTAATGAATGCTATTGTTTGTGTTGCAAATAATATATTTAGAATTCCACAAACATATATCCATTATCCATGGCCGATGGCAGTTATTTTTATTAAAATTCTTGTTTTTTCCAACATGTTCATACTTTTGTTATAATTTTATCAAATTCATTAAATTGTATATTTGTTTTACTATTGGATGCAAAACTTCAATTTTATTTATAGTTGAGTTAATACTTATTGTGAATCTATCTGACCTTGGACTTAAAGAAGCCTATACATGCATTCTTGGACAGAACCATTATTTGAGTAGAGGTTTATCTGATTAATAATGCAAAGAATCATCTCCCTGTAATAACTAATATATTTTTTTCTGTGAAGTCTCCTGAAAATTTTTGACATGTGCCGTAGTAGCTATATCAGGGCTGGTCGACTTGAAACCACATGAATGACTCCAGTCATGTCTCACTTTTGTGTGTGTGTGTGTGTGTGTGTGTGTGTGTTGGGAATTTGTAAACTATCAATAAATATACAGTTAATTAAAATTTTCTCAATGTTCTAATTTCCTCAATATAACTGCATATGGCTTCAAAATTCTCCAAAGAAGTGTTCAAATTTCAAAATTTTCCCAGGGGGCTCACAGCGCCCCCCGGAACTCCCAGATGTTTAGGCTCGCTTCACTCGCCACCCCACCCTCTTGGGTAGTTATAATGAGGGGGGCCTCCACAAAGAGGCTGCCCATGGGCCTCCACAGGTCTAAATCCAGCACTGGGTACTATAATTGTGTCTGTTTATGAATTCATGTAAAGTTGTATGATAATTTTACCGAATAAATCTGTGTCTATCTAATCTATTTATATATATATATATATATATATATATATATATATATATATATATATATATATATATATATATATATATATATATATATGACGTGTTTTAAGTCGGAAATTAGTTTCCAATTTAATTTTTTTTATTGTAGTTTAAGTCGTATTTTTCTTTTTTCGACATCTCTCTCTTCATTTTGTTTTGACCAGTACTGTATCTAGTCTGCCTCTTCCATCCGTGAAGTATGAGATTTTATTGTAACTAGAGTAATTCACTAGCGTAGCTAGGGGGGGGCGGGGGGGCTCCGCCCCGGGCGGCACTTTTGGGGGGCGGCACTTTTGGGTCTGCTCATCACCCATATCTGCAGCTACTGGAGACGTTAATCCATCCCTTTGTATCGGCGGCAAGTTAATCCTTGTCGTGTCTGACCTAACACCTGACCCACATCATCACGGCCACGTCATGAGCTACACCCTTGCTATGCTCCCCCCCCACACACACAACCTGTAACCTGTTGAGGATTAAGGAAACAACTTCAAACAAGTACGCCAGTGAGCTCATGTGGTGTGGGTCAGGTGTTAGGTCAGACACGACGAGGATTAACTTGCCGCCGATACAAAGAGAAGGATTAACGTCTCCAGTAGCTACAAAACCATGCAGTCTCGGGTCATATCACTTCATGTACAGCGGACCAATCCACCAGTTACTGTTGCTGCTATAACTATTAAAGACAGAATACAGACGTGGAAAGAAGGCCCCCTTGAACTTTTGCAGTTTATTCAAAAGTATAACCTTGGGAACTCGGTTCCAAATATAGCAATAATGCTGAGGATTTTCCTCACAATTGCTGTTAGTGTTGCTACCTGTGAGAGGAGTTTTTCGAAACTAAAACTGATCAAGAATTACTTAAGATCTACTATGAGCACCTTGCGGTTGAGAAATCTTGCCATACTGTCTATAGAGCGACAATTGACAGATGAAATAGTTTTTGACAATGTCATTGAAGAATTTGCCAACAAAAAAACAAGAAAAGTTACTTTGTAGAAAGTTGTAGTTTTAATTTCAGAAATAAAGATGGTCCTAATTTTTTTACACTTTTTTACTTTTTTCCCTATCCTATATGTCGTTTTTGCTTTTTGTTTAACTGTTACTTATAAAGTTTAAGTATGTTTGGGGTGTATTTAAAGCATACTATATTTGAGTATGTGAAAGTACAGTAATATTATAATGGTACACAAACTATTTAATATATATATATATATATATATATATATATATATATATATATATATATATATATATATATATATATATATATATATATACACTGTATATATATAAGAGTGAGTCACTGTGCAATATGTATTTTTTGTGGGGGCACGGGGGGGGAGGGGCGGCAAACTCAAGGGCCGCCCCGGGCGGCACACACTCTAGCTACGCCACTGAGAGAGAGCTGGTTGGTGAGGACGCTCAGAGGAGGACAGCTTGTGGGTCGCCATGCTCGCCCGCGGGAGCGAAGACCGCCAGACAGGAGGAGGAGGAGGTGTTGCTGGCTGGTTGGTGTAGGTAGAAAGAGAGCGATCACCACGAGGTCAGGTCTTAAATAGCGGGGAGTAGGCGTGGCTTAGTAGTTGACCTCCGTGATGTATGGCGGCGCTGGTTGACCCAGACCACGAGGCACACACTGTGGAATTCGTGGGGTCGGCTACTCAGCGACAAACAGCGTTTGTAGGGGAGAAATCCAGTACAACGTCACGAGCTTACTAGCCTTTCGGGTGGTTGGTCTATCCAGTGTTATTACAGGAGGAATAACATTCGAAGTTCTAACCGTTGACATTGGTGAGAAATATGTGCGTGTTTCATCCTGTATCAACACCAATAAAGGTTGAAACAAAGTAACAAAAGAACCGACCGACTCAAAGGGTTATTTAACGTAATGAATGGTTTATTGAGGAACTTATTTTCCGGCAGTGTTTATCACATTTGAGGACAATTTATTTTTTAGGTAAAATTGATTTACTGTTTACCATTGTTTGTGTATCTGCACTGTATTTGGACATGCTGAACAAATATGAACGTATATGGCGAATTGGCGATTTTACTAAATAATAAACTATCCATCTATCTATTTAAATTAAAAAATAAAATAAATAAATAACATTAAAGTTTATCTAAATAACAAGTACTAATACTAAACAAAAAATACACAAATTCGGAAATATTAAAATCTTAAGGTGAATCCGGATTATATAGTCGAACGCTTCCTTACGGGCGACGCTGATTGGCTGCTGCGGTCTGTTTACAAATTTTAAGTCCTGTTGAGTTTGAACGCCGAGACTGTCAACACAATTTACAAGGGAGAATCAACACTTATTTCTTTTCATTACTGCACGTTCATAGTGGTGGTGAGTAATATAAAGGAGGAAGATTAGATAACATAAAAGACCTCGTTGGAATACGGCGGCCAACGAGATAAAGTAAAATAAGAGTATTGAACCTTCACACCCTGAGTTCCACCTCACGTATTTGTGTATACTGTAATAGCCATATTTTAATGTAAAGGAAAGTGATTTTAATGTTAGTTTATCCACACCATTGGATGCTTATTAACTTAAGGTGATTTATGGAACATTCTTTTTGTGGGTACTTTCAGTAAATGTGAAGGTAAATATTGGTAGACAGTATCGGTCTCACACCAACTTTAACATATTTTTTTTCTACATTATATGATTTATCAGGGTAAAGATTCACCAATATCCATTCTGGGAAAATAACCAAAAATGGGTTTTTCTTTTGTTTTTCATAATGGTTTTAAAGAATGACCTTTATTTTTGTCACTGACATTTATTTATGGAGTTATGACCCACTACCAACGACAATGGTTTCGGTAAAGATTCATTTTAATGCCCCCTTCGTTTTTTACAGGGAAATACATTTTTCTGGTGTATTATGGTGTGCTTCATTTAAATCTGACCTTCATTTTCTTTGGAAATTTTTCATTTTGAGAAAATATCAAAGAGATATAATAGAACTAACCAACCAACTAAAGCTACATAACCTTACCTAACTTTCTAGCTGGAGGCTCCGCTCTCTGGACCTCCCGCCATGTTAAA